CTATGCTTCAAGTACCTAAACTCAGGTTCTTATCTACACGTATCATTGTCTGGATAAACCAACTGAGGCTCAGAGAAATTTAGTAACTTGCCAAAGTTTAAGCAGCTTGTTTAGAAGCAGTGCAGGGATTTGGTCCAGGTTGTCTGGCTCCATGCACTTGACTTTGCCCTCTGTTCTGATAAAATCAGAAGGCTAAATAACAGCCTGGCTTAAATTGAAGGAAGAAGAACTGAAGAAGCAGGGGAAGGAGACCTACCTGTCCCCATGAGGGAAAAGTGACTGAATGGGGACCTAGTTAATGGGGCGGGGTGGGGGGGTGAATATGGAAGAAAGTTTCTATGTTGAGAGAACATCCAGCAAAGATGTTGCAAAGACAGAAAAAAGGAATTTGGAAGGTTAACACCGTGGGCAATAATTTAAACTTAAACTCTTACGTCCTGTCATCTCCAGGACTGGTCAGATGTTATTTTCTTTCTTTCTTTCTTTCTTTTTTAAAATCAATTGCTCAGAAGAAAGGGCTAAGTGTGGACTGTCCCACTCATTGTAAAATCTGAGGCATGTTTTAGACAAATTGAATTTTACATACTCAAAGAAGGCCTTTGTTAAGAGGGAGAGAGAGACAGACAGGCTTTACTGGTGTCCCTGGCCAGCAGAAGTGACCACTTACGAGAATTATGTACAGGTGTTCACCAAGACACCATTAAGAGGAAATTTAGAATGAGAGGAAAATATAGCCAGGCAAATCAAGCTGTGGACCTTTAGCACACACACACAAAGATGTGTCACAAAGATTGCTGGAAGCAGGTGAAATTTTGCCTTCATGCTTCTTAGCAGCCAAACCAAAAAGAGAAATAAGATCCATTACAGAATCCTCAGAATCTGCAAGAGAGAAATAAGTCAGTTGTTCAACACCAAGACAATTTTGTCTGGTTTTGTTGAGCACCTTCTGAGGTCACAGATCATATTCCAATGATACCTCAGACTCTTGGGTTCCATAAGACTTTTTTCTTCTGGCAGTGCTGGGGATTGAACCCAGGACTTTGCACATGCCAGGTAAGCATTCTACCACTGAGCCACAGCCCCAATTCCTCCATAAGACATTTTCTTAAAACCATCTGTATTAGTCTGCAAGGGCTACCATAACAAAATATCACAGACTGGGTGACTTGACAAAATTTATTTTCTCTTGGTTCTGGAGGCTGTTAGTCCAAATATCGACAGGTTTGGCTTCTGGGGTTCTCCTCAGTTAGCAGATGACCACCTTCTCCCTGAGTCTTCACCTGGCCTACTCTCTCTGTGCTCAAATTTCCCCTTACAAGGACAAGAATCAGATTGAATAAGGGCCTACCCTAATGGCCTCACTTAATTAAATTAATTACGTTTTTTTTTGCAGCACTGGGGTTTGAACTCAGGACTTTATGCTTGCTAGGCAGGCACTCTTACTGCTTGAGCCACTCCAACAGCCCCCTCATTTTAATTTAATCATCTCTTTAAAGGCCTATTCAAATATAGTAGCATTCTACTACTGGGCATCAGGAATCTAACATATAAACTTGGTGGGGTACAAAATCCCCCACCAAGTAGGGCATCAGTAAGGGCATCAAAACTGAGCTTGGGGTGAACACAATTTTATGAAGGAACAGTAGGGTGTTCCAAGGACACAGGTTTCTGAAAGTCTTTCTGGGTCCAGACATAAGGAGACTTAGAATTTCATATGATGCAGAGTATTCGTGACCTATAAGTATTTTTTTGTTATCAGAGAATCTGGTAAGAATGTAACTTCTTGGTGTTCATTATCCCCCATTATCTCTGATCTCTGAAATTCTTTCAGCAGCCATGTAAACTTTGGGGTTCTCCTGTTCAAACCACCAAGCTTGAAGGTTCTGAACTACATGTATGGAGTGCTACTCTTGTGTAAGAGGGCCAGAGGAATAAATAAGACTTTGTATTTGTGTTAGCTTTTATACGCGTAAAGAGGCTGAGAAACTAAAACCAACAATTACTTCAACAAGGGGAAGTGGGTGCTGGGTTAATGGAGACAAGAATGACGTTACATGGTATCTTTAGTTCCACATTTTAGTTTCTATTTCTCAATTACACAGAATTGTAATGATCATAACCCTTCATAATGTAGTCATCTTTGACCCATGTGCAGCCATCTTTTGTCTTATTTATGTATGTATTTGTTTGCCATAATATAATGAACTCACAGGACCTCACCACTCAGCCCAAGGACTAGAACACCACCAATACCAGTGTGTCCACCTGTGTGCTCCACCCCGTCCTGCCCCTCTCTCCCTCCAAAGGTGGCCACTACCCTGATTTTTTTATAGTTATCTTATATCCAGCCACTTCTAAACTCAAATTCTTTCAAATAATTTGTCTGTAGACTGGGGGCTTTACATAGCCATCATATCATCTGCCTTTGGTAGTTTTGAAACATTGGACTGCACTATCTTCTCAAAAGTTAAATGATATATTTAAAATCCACTATTGCTTTATTCACACGTCATGGAGGCAGATGAGACAGAAGGCTAACAAGGCATACTAGGACAGTAGCTCTTGACCCAGGTTCAGATGCTGTATAGCTAGCTTCCTTGAGAATGGGTGTTAGAAATTTATGGGGGAGATATGTAAGGATTTGGGGGGGGTTCAAGAGGCTGAGAGCACTTGATTGTAAGGTCATGGGCTTTAGATAGATTTTCCCCAGCCCACCCTCACACATACATCATGCATTCTTTCCAGATATATAGAGAACATGTGATGTTCAACATTTTCTGACAAGAATTTGGAAAATAAGTGTTTTCCAGTGGTGATGGTGGGGGAGTGGCCCAGACAATGTATACACATGTGAGTAAATGTAAAAACAATAAAACATATTTTCCAGTGCTGATGAAACCCACATTTATGTACTTGGAAAAGAAAACTGTAGGGAAGGCAGAACTGAGGTTCTGTGAGGTAGAGTGAGGGGTGCAACTAGGCCTCCCATTGGGCTGCAGAAGGGCCTGTAGTCAGGGCCGAGAGGCTCCTCAAAACCAGACCTTCTCTGAAGCTTGAAAAGAAAGACCCTGGTCAATGAGCAAGGTTCTGACCTTCTAGCCTGGAAAAATTTCAGGCCAGTGGCCCACCACCAACCAACTGACAAAAGTACTGATCTCAAGTGGTGGAGCAATTGCCTACCAATCACAGGGCCGTGAGTTCAAACCTCAGTACTGCTACGAATAAAGTACTTATTAAAATAGCCAGAATGTGTGACTTCAAACAATCCATCTTCCCATTTGCCCGTCACTTACTTACTTAATTAATTCTTAATTTTTTTTGTTCTGTTTTGCAATGCTGGGGATTGAACCCAGGACCTTGCATACACTAGACATATGCTCTACCTCTTGAGCTACACACTGAGTCCCAGCACTTCAAACTAGGCTCCAAATATGACCTAGTTAGCTGAATTCTGTTGCTAGCTTCTGGTTGCTAGATTATAATCCAATTCAGTGCTGAAGGGCGTTAGCCAGAAAGTGCACTTTGGCAAATTGACTCAGAGCCCTGTTTCTGGCAACAAATGGTTAGGTGGTTGATCGTGGTGTGAACTTTGGGTGCCTGAGCTGTGTTCTTTGCTTTGTGGTGGTCAGTGAAGGTGGGAGTGCAAGTGGCTGCCTCAAAAGTGATTTTGAATCCCCACTATCTGGTGACACCTCTGAGTCCATTAGACAGAAAACCCCCATGGCTGCAATGTGGGGGTTTTATTACTTTATATAGAGACATCTGTTTTCATTAATGACAAACTTTTTTTAAAGCCTTGTTTTTCCTCAGTACAGTTTTTTTCTCTTAGTGGTGCTGGGGAGTCAAACCCAAGGCCTCACACATGCTAAGCACAAGCTTTCCCACGGAGCCATATCCTTTTATTTATTTATTTTTGTCCCCTGGCAGTATTGGGGTGTGAACTGAGGGCTTCACAGTTGCCAGACAGGTGCTCTACAACTTGAGCTACACCTCCAGCCCCTTTTAAATTGTTTCACATCTGACCAAGTTGAGATTCTTAAGAACTCCAGTTTTTTTGTTTGGTGGTACTGGGATTTGAACTCAGGGTCTCACACTTGCTGGGCAGGTGCTCTACCACTTGAGCCATTCTGCCAGTCCTAAGAACTCCATTTTTAATTTGTGAAGTTCTCAACCTGATTTTCCCAAAAAGGTCAATAAATTGCAAGCACCTGCTAATAAAGGTCTTAAGTTAAAAAAAAAGTACTTATTTTTTAAAAAGTGGTGGCTTTCTTATTAAATGTATTTTGATATTTTGATTTTATGGAATATGGTTTATGTTTTTCTGCAGAGTCTTGAGAATAGTTACTAAACAAAGCATTTTAAATTAAAAAAAAATTGTGCTGAGTGTGGGTACATTGTAGCATTTACAAAGGTTCTTATGATGTATCAAATATATCATACAAAGTTCTTTTAAGTGAAGAAAGAAAGCTACTGCTAGGACTGTGCTAATTTGATCAGCTGGGTGGGGAGGAGAGTTCCTGGGCACTGTCTGGCTTCAGGATAAAGATAGCAGCTATTTATGGAGCACTTCTTTGCTTCTGGGGTGTCTGGGTGTTTTCTGACTGCCTTCCTGCGAATCTATGGCAACGACCTACTGAGATAGTGTTACCCATCTTACAGATAAGGAAACTGAGCTCAGCTAGTTTAACTTCTCCTAGTCCCAGAGTAATTCATGAACCAGATATAAACATTTCTGTGCCTGAATCCTATGCTCACTGCAGGGATTGTGATGTGACAGCTGAAAAAAAAAAACCTTATGATCATCACACTTTGCCATCTTACCTTGGGGAGAGTAGGAGCAACATGGTATCAGTTCTCTCATATCTGACCCATTACTCTTAATTATGATCTGGCCACCACACTGCATAGGATGTGACAGTTCCACATCCGCTGTGGTGAAGGTCACCATGATGATGTTTCTAAGATAACAGGTATGTCTGCCCTCCTTCATCTGCTTTTAGCTTTCACCATCAACAGCATCCAGATGAAGAGCCTTCCAGACTGGGAGGTGAGTAACGGGCAGAACCTGACCCTGCAATGCGTTGTGGATGTCAGCACCACCTCACAAATCAAGACTCAGCACTTGATGCTATTCTATAAGGATGACCTGCTGATACACAACGTCACCTCCACCGAGAGCGTAGAGAACTATTTTATTCTCCAAGCTCGGGTCTTTCACTCAGGAACGTACAAATGCACCGTGATTCTGAACAACAAGGAGAAAACCACAAAGGAGTACCAGGTGTTTGTGAACGGTGAGTCCCTAGGGTTTGAACACAGGCAAGCCTGTGCAGCATGGCTACCACTCTTCTCACTCATCATTTTCCTAACCTGAAAATGTAAGCATCTGACATGTTTTCCATGTGCCAAGCTATTTCTAGATTCTTTGCCTTTGCACATGCTGTTCCCTGTTCCTGGAATACCTTTCAGAACTCATGTCAGTGATTTCTGGTTTTTTGAGACAGAGTCTCACCAGGTAGCTCAGGTTGACCTTGAACTTGAGAACCTCCTGTTTCCCGAGTGCTGGGATTATAGGCATGCACCATCACAGTCAACTACTCAGTAATTTCCTCTCTGACGCTTTCCCAAACAAAACTAAGCTCCCCCTGGGGTGCCAATCCTCACAACTCTTACACTGTCTCTAAATTCAGTGAGACTTGCAGAAAGGCCACAGGGCTGTGTGAAGGTACTGGTTCCCTCCATCTCAAAGTCTTTGAACCATGCTAACCTTCAGAATCCTCATTAGTAAAATGACGGTAACCGTGAGACCAGCTCAGGGAGTTGTTGAGAGAGTGAAAGATGTCAGGTAGGGTAGAGTGGTTAGTTCAATGTCCTGAACACAGTGGATTGCAACTGTAGTCACGCACGGTGTAATGATGTTTCAATCAGCAACAAACTGCATAGGTGAGGGTGGTCCCATAGGATTGTATCACCTAGTGATGTCAAAGCCACCTTAGTTTGGATAAAAACACTCTGTATTTGCATGATGAAGTCACCTAACAGTGCACTTACCAAACTGTGTCCTGCTGACTGCGTTTCTCACACGTCTGTCTGCTCTTCTGGACTGTGAAATCGTGAGGAGAGAGAGAGAGAGAGAGATAGCATTTGACCTGTGTTTATAGGCCAGATATAGGTTCTCAATACATGCTTATGGAATAAGTTAAAAAGCCAACACTAGCCTGTGATTGGCGTTCAATAAATAAACTATCACAATAATACTAAGTGCTGGCTGCTGGTGGTGGTGATTTTCCTCTTTAAACTGTATCAGTTGGGAATCCAACTGTACCACCTTCCCAGAGGGATTAGAAACCACCAAGAGCACAAACCATATCCTGAGCATATTTATTTATTTATTTATTGCAGTACTGGGGCTTGAACTCAGGGCCTACACCTTAAGCCACTCCACCAGTACTTTTTCGTGATGGATTTTTTTCAAGATAAATTTTTTTCAAGATAGGGTCTCAGGGAACTATTTGCCGGGGCTGGCTTCGAACCATGATTCCTCTGATCTCTGCCTCCTGAATAGCTAGGATTACAGGCATGAGCCACGGGCACCCAGTTTGAGCGTATTTTATGTTCTTCAAAGGACCTGATTCAGTACCAGGCACTACTTGGGAGGTAGCACTGGGTATTGAGGGGGGAAATGAGCTCTCTGTGGGTCAACCACAATGACAGCCAAGGGTCACTTGTGCCATGGGGTCAAGTTGATACTAACTAAACTTTCTCATTCTCCAAAGGAGTGCCCAGTCCCAGGGTGACGCTGGACAAGAAGGAGGTGATAGAAGGCGGGGTCGTGACCGTCCATTGTTCTGTCCCAGAGGAAAAGCCACCCATACATTTCACAATTGAAAAACTTGAACTAGATACAAAAATTGTCAAGCAAAAAAGAGTGAAGTCCTCTCCGAACCAGAATTTTGTGACGCTGGATTTCCCAATTGAGGAACAGGACCATGTTTTAGTGTTCCGCTGTCAAGCTAGGATTGTGTCTGGGATCCACATGCAGATCTCGGAATCTATCAGGAGTGAACTGGTCACCGTGAGGGGTCAGAGTCCTACTCTCCTTTTTGTCATTCTTCATGGTTTGGGGTGGGTGTAGGGAGAAAAGACCCAGACTAGAAAGGGACTGGGCCTTCTGTCTGGGTGCCATTCTCAAGACTTAAGACCAGTTCTTAATCACTTTGTTGGTATTTTTCAAGCCTTTTTGACTATGAGAGTATGTGTGTGTGTGTATGTGTTCTATTTTCTAATTATAAAGTATGTGCTCTCAGAGACTTCAGAAAAAAGTGATAAGTTATGACAATCATTCATAGGGTCAGTACTCAGAGAAAACCATTTATATGGCCTCTAGACTTTTTCTACACATACCACACTTGCACACCCAGGGTTTGTTTGTTGGTGTGTTTGTTTGAGAGAGGGTCTCCCTGTGTAGCTTAGGCTGGCCTTGAACTCATGTTCCTCCTACCTCATCCTTCCAATTGCTGGGATTATAGATGTGTGGGTCCATGCTTGGCCGGGATTTTTGTTTTTACAAAAAATGGAGATCTATCAAACATACTGTCACTGTTAAAATTTTAACAATATGTTATTGGATTTTGTCTATCTCAAGAAGTATATATCTAGGAGCTGGGCATGGTGGTAAATGCCCCAAATCCTGGTACTTGGGAGGCTGAGGCCTGAGGATCACGAATTCAAGGGCAGCCTGGGCTATGTAGTGAGATCCTGGAGAGAGAGAGAGAGAGAGAGAGAAGGGGATGGAGGATGGGGGAGGGAAGAGGAGAGGACAGGGAGGGGGGGAGCGGAGGGTATGGGGGGGGGAGGAGAGATTCTAGCAGGGATGTGTGCCATAATTTATTGTCTTATCCTCTATTAATGGACTTTTATGTATTATCCAAGTTCCTTGGTATTACAACAATACTGTAATTCAAATACTTGTACTTATTTTGTGTACTTTGGAAACTATTTTATAATTACTATTTTTGGGGTTAATCCCCAGCAGTCAAATTGTTGACCCAAATGTTTGGTGTTTTCCAATATTGTTGGTCTTACCAAAGTGTTCTTCAAAATGGTGGAACTTTCCAGCCAAAGTGACAGCAGTGTTTATTTTCTGACTTTCTTACCCCCAGAGTAGTGTCAAGGTTTTATCAACGTTGAAACTAAGTGAGGTACAGTGATCTAGTGTATTGTTGTGATTTTTATTTCTTTCTCTCTTTTTTTTTTTTTTTCTTCTGTTTCTTTGTGGTGCTGGGGATCAAACCCAGGGCCTGGTACATCCTAGGCAAGCATTCTACCTTTAAGCTACAGCTCGAACCATTTTTTTAAATTTCTTTTAGGTTTTTGTTTGTTTATTTGTTTTACTTTGTTTTTGTTTTTTTTTTTTTTTTTTTTACTTTTTTAAAATTTTTATTTTATTCATATGTGCATACAATGTTTGGGTCATTTCTCCCCCCTTCCCCACACCCCCTCTCTTCCCCCCCACTCCCTCCCTTACCTTTGCTTACATATTTGTTGTCCCCTCCCTTTTTTAAAAAACAGTACTGGGGATTAAACCCAGGACCTCACACTTTTTTTTTTTTTTTTTTTTTTTTTTTTATAGAAAAAAGGATTTATTCTTTTGGTGGTCTTTTTCTTTTTTTTTTTTTTTTTTTTTCATTTTTCTTTTATTATTCATATGTGCATACAAGGCTTGGTTCATTTCTCCCCCTGCCCCCACCCCCTCCCTTACCACCCACTCCACCCCCTCCCGCTCCCCCCCTCAATACCCAGCAGAAACTATTTTGCCCTTATCTCTAATTTTGTTGTAGGCTCACTATGTAGCCCACGTTGGCCTCCACCTTGTAATCTTCCAGCCTCAGTCTCCCAGTGGGGTTGAGTGTGTTTTGTTTTTTTTTTTTGGCTATACTGGGGCTTGAACTCAGGGCCTCATGTTTGCTAGGCAGGTACTCTACCACTTGAGCCACTCTGCGAGCCCAAGTATCTCCTATATGTTTACTGGTTTATCCCTTTTTCCCCACAAACTGCCTATTTATACATACATTTTGCCTATTTTTATTGTTTTTGATTAATTTTTTTGAGTACTTTATAAATTAAAGGAATTTGCTTTTTGTCAGAGGAACTCTGTAATATCCCCCTCCACCCAGTGTGTTCTTTTCATTTATATTTTATAAGTTTTCCATGCCGAAGTGTTTAATCTTTAGTCAAATTTATCTATCTTTATTTTTACCTAAGGCAGGGTCTTGCTCTGTAGCCCAAGCTGGCCTTGAAACTTAGGATCCTTCTGCCTCAGCCTGTCCAGTGCTAGGATTACAGGTGTGTGCCACCGTGCCTGGCTTTATCCATTGTTTTTCTTTATGGTATCTCAGTTTTGTGATCTATGTGTAAAAGTCCCCCATACTCCAAGATCATTAAAGAAAAACACTGCATCCAAGTTTTTTTTGTTTTGTTTTACTGTTTCTGTGTTTTTCTTTTCTTCCACCATACTTAAGTCTTTAATGTATCTGAAGTTAATTTAGGTATAAGAAAAAACTTTAGTTTTCTGCTAAGTTAGTCCAGAGAGCCAGAAAGTTGAATGTCCTAAAAACAGTGCTCACTCATTTAAAATTTATGCTCCAAAAAGCAAGCGATACTAGCTTTTCTTATAAACTTAAATGACTGTAGTTTCAAAAATGAATGCATACTGAAGTATTACTGTAAATTCAGTTAACTTTTTTAAAGTAGGTAATGGCCAGCATTTTACAAATTAAATAGAATAGACTTAAAACCACTTTTTTGGCACATGGTTATTTAAATAATATATCTCATGAGGCATGTAATCCACATAGCTACTACTTTTGAAAACGATACAGTACTTGTACAGATATGCCGAGGTTCTCTCAATGGCATAATAGCCTAGCAAAAACCAGGGTCAGAGTCTGTTTCTGTGGCTGTCGTTGTCTGTGAGGTCTGCAGACAAGATCTAGAAAAGGTGTTTGGTTTTTGGGGTGCTCAAGAAGGTCAGAGCATTATAAGAAAGAATGCTGAAGATATGCAAATGAGCCAGAAGGAAGGAGCATTGGAGAAGGAATTGAGGAAAAGGTTTGACTTTTTAAAATGAATTAGGAGAAAGAAGTTGGCAAGAGGGAGCAACAAAAAGAGCAGACGAGCAGCAGGTACGAGGTTTGAACCCAAGTCCGACCAGCTTGTCCTATTCCTTACAGAATCCTTCTCTACTCCCAAGTTCCACATCAGCCCTCCCGGGATGATCACAGAAGGAGATCAGCTCCATATTAAGTGCACCATTCAAGTGACACACCTGGCTCATGAGTTTCCAGAAATCATAATCCAGAAAGACAAGGCCATAGTGACCACCACCAAACACGGCAACGAGGCCGTCTTCTCCGTCATGGCCCTGGTGGAGCACAATGGTAACTACACCTGCAAAGTGGAGTCCAACCGGATTTCCAAGGTCAGCAGCACCATGGTCAACATCACAGGTAGGGCTGGTGCGGGCCGGGGCTGGTGAGTGGTGGGTTCGAGGAGCAACTGGGCTGCTTGTCAGGGGCAAAATGGGCTCTGGTTGGGCTTTGGTGATTGTGGGGCAAGGTCAAGGCACAACAAGTAAGCAGTGTTCTGTGATGGGTGAGTGTACAGGCTCTGGTGCCAATTCCAACTCTGCCACCCATTATTATTCTGTGACCTTGGCTGAGTCATTGAATTTGGCTCAGCTCTGAGAGAGAGGGATACAGTGTTGCTGACCTTATAGGATTTTCTTTTTTCTTTTTTTTTTTTTGCAGTACTGGGGCTTGAACTCAGGGTCTACACCTTGAGCCATTACACCAGCCCTTTTTTGTGATGGATTTTTTCAAGATGGGGTCTTGCAAACTATTTTCCTGGGCTGGCTTCAAATGGGATCCTCCTGATCTCAGCCTCCTGAGTAGCTAGGGTTATAGGCATGAGCCACCAGTGCCCAGCTGGATTTATATATTTTTTTAAATGTCAAGTTCATAATAATTCTAAGAGGTAGGTGTTATGATACCTACTTTATGGTTTTGGAAACTGAGTAACTCAACTAAGGTCACCCAAGTAGCAGAACAAGTCACCCCAGGTCTGTTCGATTTTCAAACTTAAAAGTTCCCTCTCTTTCTGATCCCCCTTCTCTGGCTTTATTTCCCTCTAATATACTTAGCACCCCAAACATATACTCTACCTTTTTTGCTTTGTTTATTGTGTGCTTTAGTCACTGGGATGTAAGGTGATGAGAGCACAAGCATTATCTCTTCTTCAGTGCTAGCCAGCACACGGGCACAGTAGGAATGGCTTACAATTGCCAGATGAATGACTGAGTGTTGTATGACAGCATGACCTAGGACAGAGAGCGAGCTCTTCCTGGTTCCCCAGTAAAAGGGTTCGTTTACACATGCATGCATTCACTCATTCACTTGTTTACTGAAAGCCTCCATGGTGTCAAGCTTTGGTCATGCAGTCACAACCACACCTATTGGGCATATGTAGGCTACCAACTACCCAACTGTGCAATTAGCATGTCTGTATTATATGTGCTGGTTTACAGTGTGTGCTAGAAATGTGATGAATTATTGATAATAATGTATTTTGATGCCTTATGATTTTTTTGCAGATAAGATTTATGATTTATATTATCTCAGTCTAGGGTCATAGTTCAAGTGATAGAGCACTTGCCTGGTGTGCATAAGACCCTAGCTTCAATCCCCAGTACCACACAAAAAAAGATTGGTATTATCTCACTATAGAAAAATATCAATTCACCATATATTGAGCACATTCTGAATGCTAGGTAAGTTGCTGGAGGTGTGGCTCAAATGGTAGAGTGCCTGCCTGGCAAGTGTGAAGCCCTGAGTTCAAACCCCAGTACAGAGAGAGATTGAAGAGCTACTTGAACCACGCTTTGTTTTGTCCTTGAGGACCTCATGGACAAAAATAGACCAATCTATAGCAGTTTGTTACAGCTGTGATGGGCTGTAGGATACTTCCCCTAGGCCACTGCCTGGTATAACTTCTTCCCAGAGACTGTTTCCTTAATCCCTCAAGGTAAAGTTCAGTTTCCCTCCTATGGGCTATGTCTGAATCACCCACTAGACTAGTCAGGGACTGTCTCTTCTTCACTGCTCCCTCCCCAGTGAATGAAATGAGTGAGTACACATGTAGATGAGGGAATGCATGGTCTTTACTGGCTGCAGAGTAACACATCTGTGGAATAAACTGAATCAGCCAGCAAGGAGAACCTGCCATGGGAGTCACAGGCATAAGATGAGGCCTAGCTCTTTCAGGGGTGCTCATCAGGTGTGTGAGAAGTGAGGGAGACTTCTTGCAAGAAGGTGGGAGTTGATTCTGTGAAAGTAGCTGGGCCACCAGCCTCTCCAGGGAGGGGCTTGGGGGTTGCCCTGACATATCTTGTCCCCTTCCCCCTCACTGTCTTTCAGAACTATTTCCCAAGCCAAAGCTGGAGTCTTTGTCTACCCATCTGGACCAAGGTGAAAAGCTGAACCTGTCCTGCTCTGTCCCAGGAGCACCTCCAGCCAACTTCACCATCCGGAAGGATGACATGATTGTGTCACAGGATCAGAATTTCACCAAAATTGCTGCAGAGTGGGACACGGGGACATACACCTGCACAGCAGGCATCGGCAAGGTGGTCAAAAAAAGCAACATGGTCCATATCACAGTGTGTGGTGAGTACCCCAGAGCACATGAGGTTGAGTGGGAAAAAGGGACAGATCACTAGCTGTCACTCTCTCCTGAAGGCAGATCAGTTCACGTAGGACAAAACCTTGAAGGAGGGCTATCAGAATAGTTCAAGCAGTAAGTGCTTTCCTAGAAAGCATGAGGCCCTGACTTCAAACCCTGGGACTGATTAAAAAAAAAAAAGACTTTGAGGGAAAAAAAGAAAGAGGCAGGCTATCTAGAGTCCAGACAAGTACAGAAGAGAGGCAATATGAGGACAACATTGTAGACTGAGATCAAATTCCAGGCTTTCCTGTGACTGCCGGTGATGTGACTGAATTGGCAAGCTTCTGGCTGTTGGAGCAGTTACTCTCTCAGATGGTTGGGGAGAAAACGCTGCCCAGTCAGCACTAAACGTTAAGAAGATCAGAGTTCCAGTTTTATCCATACCCAGGCGAACCCCTTTTGGCAAGTGGAATGAAGAGCTGGGCCTCTCAGCCCTGGACGTGCTGCAGGAGCTGCTTAGAACCCAGAGTCTGGTTCAGTGGGCTAGTGGTGCTAGTGCTGCGAAACTCCAAGCTGTCACTGTTTTTTGTTTGTTTGTTTGCTTAAGTGGTGCTGGCCTTAGACTTGTTAGGCAAGTACTTTACCACTTGAGTCACACCCCAGCCCTTTTTGCTTTTTAGTTTTTTTTGTTGGTCTCATGCTTTTGCCTGGCTAACCATGGACAACAATCTTCCTACCTATGCCTCCGATGTAACTAGGATTATAGGTGTAAACCACCATGCCTGGCTTATTTTTGAGATAGGGTTTGAGCTGGTCTCAAAGCTCAATCCTCCCATCTCTGCCTCCTGAGTAGCTGGGATTATAGACATGAGCCACCACACCCAGTCTTCACTGTCATTGTTAATTTAGTTATGGTCCTTCAGTTTAATTTGTGACTATGGTTTCTCTAGCTAAGATTTTCATCTCATCTAAACCAGAATTTTAGCTGATTTTCAGCTTTCTAGCCATCTAACTCAAGAGGAAAGAATGCAAGAGACAAATGTGTATCATTACATTGTAATTTTTTTAGTTGCATTCTTGGGAGGAGGTCATTTCATTTCATAAGGTTTATCAATAAGCTAACTTCAAAAAAATGACCTTGTCAAATTCTTATCTCTTGGGCATGCAATTTACTATCGAGAGGCTGGGGAGTTCACTGAGAAGAATTTGTTTCAAAATATATATGCATTTCTTACACTTTTCTGTGTCTTTACTCAACCCAAAAAGAAGTATATGTATTATAAGAGATATATCTCCAGATATAGCAATTTCTTTGAATATATGTCTTTTTTTTTTTTTTTTGAGATAGAGGCTGCTGTGTAGCCCAAATTGGCCTAGAACTCTTGACCCTCTTGCTTCAGCCTCCGCAATGCTGAGATTACAAGTGTGCTCCACCACCATGGCTATTACATCATTCTTTATTTTGCCTATAGCACTTTGGTTTTTTGTGGTGCTGGGGATCGAACCCAGGACCTTATGCACCCACACACATTGTCTGACAGTCTTACAGGAATCCCTTAAAGGTAGATAAAGCAAGCAGGCATTTGACATTGTGATAGTGACTGAGAAAACCGCACCCAGCATTTGGGCAGAAGGTGTTGCTTCAATGTTATTTTCCCTCTGTTGTTCTAGAAAAGCTCTCCAAGCCCAGTATTTTTCATGATGTTAAGTCTGAGATCATAAAAGGAAATCCCATAAAAGTCAGCTGCCAATCAATAAATGGAACATCACCTATTTCTTACCATCTTGTAAAAGCAACGAACATTTTGCAAAGTCGTATGATGACCTCAAATGATCCTGCAGAATTCATAGATAAGCCTACCAAAGATGTAGAATACCAGTGCATTGTGGATAATTGCCATTCTCACCTGGAAATGTTCAGCGAAGTTCTGAAGGTCAAGGTGATAGGTAAGTTGCTATGTTGTAAGAAGAACGATGGGGCTTTAGTTAACATTTTGGAAGGTTTGGGGGTTACTCAGAGATTGTGAGGACAGTTAAAGAAGTGTGTGGTATTTGAGCAAAGTTCATAAAGCAGGACCAAAACTCAGTAAATGGGTCTGGAAGACCTGGGGGACCATGGACATGGCCAATGTAAACATTCAGAACTTTCCAGTGAAATAGAGGGAAAGTGTCCTGACTTCAGGAAGACTGAACTTGTGTGTTTGGGTTTCCTTGACTTTCATTGCTTTTCAGATGAACTGAGAGCCATCCCAGGGAATTGCAGGCCAGAGCTCTGCTCTGCTCTTGCCCCTGGTGAACAACTCTGTAGCAGTCCTACAGGCCATGGTCTCACAGCCATTGCTAACACTTGCCTGGGACTCTTATGCTCAAGAGGAATGCTATCTGGTGCCTCTTGGAAGGCCTAAGGAATACCATGACTTGCCTCTCTCTCTGCATCCTGCTTTAAAAAGCTTAATAAGGTCTCCTCCTTTCCAACCTTTGTGTCCTTTTGTTTAATTACCTCATGTTATTAGCATGCAGCATGCTAATTGCATATTATTGCATCTATTAGCCACATAAGAACTACTTGTGCTGCTGTGGACATGAGTTGTCTACAGGGTAGGAAGATCCAGCAGGGTGAAGGGATTTCTGCTTCTGTTAATGCATCTGATACTAAGCAGATAATGCTATAGGCCTACCCTACCAAAAAAAAAGACATGTTCTTTGTGGTCAATACTATAACAAGCAGCACAAGATCTCCTGTTAATAATAGGAAAATATTTGAATAGTAGTACAAATAAGAAAAGAAAAATGCTAGGAGTCAAGACTTGATTCATTGTCACATGAAGTGTAGCCTTAAAACAATGGTGATAGTAACTCAGGGCATGGGAGAGATTGTCTAGCTTGAGTGGGAAAAGTTCAGGAAAGAACTGGGTAAAGGAGTCAGAATCTGACAATGGTTGTCAGAGACAGCCAAAGATGGCCTACCTTATCTAACATCCACATGAACCAAACTATCTCTAGAAAGTCCATGAACCAAAGGCTCCATGGTGCAGTTCAAAGTACTGGGTGAACCAGATGGGTGGAAGCAAAGGCCAGCAATGGTGAACCACTGGATCCAAGCTGAAAAAGTTACGGAACCCAAATGGGAAGGGCATCAAGTGCTAGTGTTAGGAGCTGAGTGCAATGAAGAGTGAGAAGAAGAAAGAAGGCGATAATAAGAATGGGTTCTTCGGAAGATTAACCTGGTGGCTATTACCTTGAGGTATGGAGCCTTCAGATCTCAGAAAGTGTTAAGAGAAAATGCAGAAGCCCATGGGAAGCTGTGTGTGTAAACTGGATCAATATTAACTGGTAGTATTTCCTGAGCTCTGACCGTGTGTCCAGCCCTGTGTGAAGTATTGTAAGAAATTATTGCAAATAACACTTACTTATAGCCATGTGGACTGGCAGTAGTATTAACCTTGTTTTATGATGGGGCAACTAAGGGCTAGCATGAATATCTGGTGGGTGGTAGGGCTGGGATTTGAACCCAGGCAATCTGCTTCCTGAGCCCAATTTGCCCTGAGACTGAAACGTCAGGCTTCCCTGTGTGAGACCACCACCATCCCAGGCCTGGTGCTCAGCTGCCACCAGCCAGCACCTCCATGATCTCAGCACCTCCCTCCTGAACCCCCAAGATGGTTGACTCCCAAGTCAGTGCTCATCTCCTGACCAATCCATCTCACTAGTAGGAAATCTACTTGGGACAACTTAGGACCAGAACTTCAGTGGTTGAGCAGGTTGCTGAGGAAAGGGACATGGAAGGGTGTTGAGTTCTGCTTGAACCCACTGACAGTCTGGGCCTCCAGGTAGAAAGCCCAGGCTAAAAAAAGGGACTGTTGGGGTTCCAGGAAGTAATGTGGATGGGAAATATCTGTTTAGGATTCAGTGCTCAGAAATAGAAGCTGAGCGTATAGGTGAAATCCCCAAAAAGAAGGAAGGTGAAGACTGAGGACTAACTTCCACAAAGACCATATTTCATAGTCAAAATGACTAGTGAATAAGGAGGAGGTGGCAGGAAAGAGAGAAGGAGAATCAGCTTCAGAGGCAGCATAGAAGCCTGAAGAAAGCTGAGCTGTAAGGAGGTCAAGGTTGGGAAAAGGGATGAAGAACTTAATATGCAGACTATGGTCTGAGGATCAGGGGACCTTTTGGGTTTCTTAAAAAGCAGAGATAGAGTGTAGTTTCAAAAGCAGAGGGTGAAGCAGGAGGATTACAAGTTCAAGGCCAGCCTGGGCTACAGTACATTTTAGACCAGGCTGGGATATATAACAAGGGGAAAAAAAAAAAAAAACCCAGAAGGAATGGAAGTCAGGTTTCAGGGGTAGCAAGAAAGGTTTGAACTTGTCATTCCTCCTGTCTCAGGCTCCTGAGTACTGGGATTATAGGCATGAACCACCATGCCCAGCTCTGACCCTCTTTCTTGCTCAATGCTAATTCCAGCCCCGGTGGACCAGGTCAAAATTTCTATCCTGTCGAGTGAGGAGGTGGAGTCTGGGGAGGAAATTGTGCTTCGATGCTACGTGGATGAAGGAACTGGGCCCATCACATACAGCTTTTACAAAGAAAAGGAGAAAAGCCCCTTCTACCAAAGCATCTCCAATGAGACCCAGGCATTTTGGCACAAGGAGCAGGCTAGCAAAAAGGAAGAGGGGCAGTACTATTGCACGGCCTCTAACAGAGCCAGCCTCACGCAAAAGAGTACCCAAAGCAACACTCTGACAGTCAAAGGTGAGTCAGGGCCTCGTCAGAACAGAGGACGGGGCGGGTCCAAGAGGAGGGCAGAAAACTCAGCCCTTGCAGAAGGGAGAGGGTGGAGGTCAGGCCGCATGACCGAAGTTAACCGACAGAACCCCCCTCAAATTAACTTGGGTAAAAAAGAGGAGTTGATTATTGTACAGAATCAGAAGGGTTTTCTAGAGCCCCACTTCCAAATCTTGGCAGAGAGACACCAGTTGTCTCACGTTGAGTCCACCTTCCACCCATGGGCCACCTGTAGCCAAGGGGATTAGGTCACCCAGAAGGGGCACGGTTAGTGGAGCACATCTATGTGGGTGAAGGGTGGTTTTATAGAGAAGAAAGAGGGCTGAAAGGACACCTGAAACCAGAGCCTACCCTAGCAAAGCTGGTTTGGTCTTTCCTTGCAAGGGGTGTATAGCAGAAGCCACCCTTTCTGAACCGGCTGAGTTCAGAGCCCTCAGGTAGACTCCAAGATAAGGTGCCAGTTACAAGGATTGCAAAAGTTAGTCTTGTTGCTTAAACCTGATTTCTTGCTGGCAAAAGGAAGAACCTGGGTCTTTCTTTTTTCCATGTCCAGTCTTTCTTGCCCCATGGAAGAAAGGACTTATTGCAGTGGTTGTCATCGGAGTGATAATCGCCACCTTGATAGTTGGAGCCAAATGCTATTTTCTGAGGAAAGCCAAGGGTGAGCACAGCTCCTTCCTTCCATTCTGACAGGTGATCCTTGCCAGGAAACCAGCCCCAGATATGCGGAGTCCTAGGAGGTGAGGAGATAACTGAGGCTCCTCAGGGTGTCACCTTGAAACCAAAGATTCTGACAGCATAGAGTTCTTCTTGCTCCTGGATTTAGTCGAGCAAAAGTGAAAGTGTTTTCCTCGCCAACAAGGGGACCAGGTTCAGGCACTCAGATGAAGCTGTTTCATGGGGTTTGGCCACACCTGGTCTTAGATTTGGTAGAGTGGGATGTGAGTGTCATGGGCACACACGCATTTGCACACATGCCACATGCACACACGCACACATGCACACATGTACACACACCGAATACCTCCTAATCCATCTGCCTATTGTGCATGATTTCTATATTGTGCATGGCTGGGAGGCCAGGACCATGCGTTGGCACTGGATAATCAGATCAGCTAGCCCAGACTTAAGGAAACAAGCACCCACAGCACCAGAAAATTCTGCAAGAAAATTGTGTGGCTGGGGGGGGGTCTTTGAGAACCTCTGCCTGGGGTGAGGGGGAGGATAGGATGAGGAGGAGCCTCTGGTCTTTTTTCAGGCAGGAAAACACAAGCCCAGGAAGAGACAGGCTTCCAAAAGAAACCTCTTCCCAGGGCTGACCCCAGCTTGGAATTAAAAACACAAGGATTGATTGAGCCTTTGCTTTTTGGAATTACCTTGAATCAAAGTTACAGTTGTCCACTTATTTGGCTAATCTGGTTTCCACAGGATTGTCTTTGTCACCACCACATCTCACTAACAAAAATAATTTCTGGCTAAAGCATCAAAATGTCACATAACTGGGGAAATAAGGTGAAATTTATTAGTATAAAACCAAGAGAAGGGCCAGGGGTGTAGCCCAATTGTAGAGCACTTGCCTAACCTGCCTGAAGCTCTGGGTTCCATCCCTAGTTTTGCAAGAACACACACACACACAAGAATACCTCTTTCTTCCTTCTTCCTCTTTTCTTTGGTTTTTTTTTTTTTTTTTTTTTTGTGGTACTGGAGTTTGAACCCAGGGCCTCCACCTTGAGCCACTCCACCAGTCCATTTTTGTGATAGGTTTTTATGAGATAGGGTCTCTCCAACTATTTGCCTGGGCTGGCTTTGAACCAAGACCCCACCCCCCATCTCTACCTCCTGAGTAGCTAGGATTATAGGTGTGAGCCACTGGCACCCGGCTTTTTTGAGCATGAATATATTTGGCTTTCTTTTCTCTCTTTTTATAGGTATTCAGTCTTTAAGTCAAATATAGTCAAATGACTGTTCCTATCTGATCTTATACTGACATTGATTTCTCTCTTTTTTAAAGCCAAGCAGATGCCTGTGGAGATGTCCAGGTCAGTGTTCTTGTAAGAAGGGGTGGCTGTTGTGTGGGCATGGTTGGTCATGACTGAAGGAACAGTCTGGTCATTAGGAGTTTTATTGGTGAAGACTGCCAACTGTGCTTTCATGGGAGAGAGAATGGCTTTTCTTCTGAGATTACATCCTTCCTAAACTATTGTTTGTGAAATCCTCTTTTTCTTATGAAATTATAATGGTAGTCAAGGGAAATTTAAATTTTTTTACTTACTTATAAAAATAGCATTGGCCTTCAAAAATGTTTTTAGTATCTTTACTGTTCTTAAAATCCAAAATCCACAGAGTATGGAAATGGTATCAGTGCTGTGTCACAGTAGCACAGGATTTAGATTCAGGGAATTCTAAGTGGCCTGGCATGTGTGCCCTTTGGTCCTGACATTTATTTCAACAGCAAAAAGTTTGGTCAAGTACACTTAGAGTGGAAAAAACATGTTAGTTTTCCACATGTGAGAGTAAAGCTTTCTTTACTTTGGAAAGCTCTTCCTGTTTTCTCATTATCTTCCCTTTGATGATTTTGTTGGTTTGGGATTAGAGTGGAAAAATTTTTTTTTTTTTTATCAGTACTGGGTTTGAACTCAGGGCCTATACCTTGAGCCACTCCACCAGCTCTTTTTGTGATTTTTTTTTTTTTTGAGATAGGGTCTTGTGTACATTTGCCTGGGCTGGCTTTGAACCAGGATCCTCCTGATCTCTCTCTACCTCCTTAGTAGCTAGGATTACAGGCATGAGCCACCGGCACCTGGCAAAAAAAAAAAAAGTTTAATTATATGTTTTTTTCTTTTTTTCCCCTCCTTTCCAATCTTTCATTTTAAGGCCAGCAGCACCACTTCTGAACTCCAACAATGAGAAGGTATCAGAGCCCAGTATGGAAGCCAACAGTCATTATGGTAAAACCCCACTTCCTTGAGTTACTAAGAGTTTTACCAACTATAATTGGGTGGGATGAAAGGTAGAAGGGAGGGCTGATGGAGTGGCTCAAGTGGTAGCAGATGTGAGACCCTAAGTTCAAGCCCCGGCACCAAAAGATAAATGAATAAAGACCTGTAAAAGGTAGAAAGGAGACCCTGGCTTCAAGCAACGGTACTTATCTAATCAGCCTCTGGAGGGTGAGCTAATAAATAAAACAAACACTTGAAAGGAAAAGCAGCACACTTTATTCTATTTTCATCATCTTCTAAACTTCCCTTGGAATAAAAAATGGAGACTGATCCTAATGCCTTGGTGCTTTCCAAGACTTTGACTATTACCTAAGAGTAATAATCATTCTGAATTTACAAGGTAGAGACCAGATGTCAAGTTAAGTCATTGGTAAAACATCTTCCCAAATGAATTGTTACAAGCATAAGACCATTTACTTTTCTTTTGTCAGAATGGAAAACCAATTGAAAGATGTTGCTCTTGGAGGAGGCAATAAGAAAAAAGTAGGGTCTGGGGTGGAGTGGCTCAAGCAGTAGAGCGCCTGCCTAGCAAGTATGAGGCGCTAAGTTCAAACCCCAGTACCACAAAGAGAAAAGAACAAAGGAAGGAAGAAGAGGGAGAGAGAGAGAGAGAGAAGGACAGAGGGAGGCAAGAAAGAGGGGAAGAAGGAAGGAAGGATGGAAAAGAAAACTAGAATTTTCCATTGTCAGTCATCCTAATTGTTACTTTTCAACAGGTTACAGTGACAATGTTGGAAACCATGCAATGAAACCACTAAATGAAAATAAAGGTAATTATCTATTCAAGTGTTTTGCCAGAAGTCTTTACTTTAAAAAATGCTTCATAGGAAAAAAAATGAAAAAAATCTATGATGACTGAAGATTTTCTCATACCACCCCTCCCTTGTTTTTTGGAGGCACTGGGGGTTTGAACTCAAGGTCTCATGCTTATTAGGCAGGCACTCTACCACTTGAACCACTCAGGCAGTCCTTTTATTGTGTTGGATATTTTCGAGATGGGGTCTCTTGAACTGTTCGCCCAGGCTGGCTTTGAACTGTGACCTCTCTGCCTCCTGAGTAGCTAGGATTACAGGCATCAACTACCACTGTCTGGCTCGTATTCCTTTTAAAGTTTCTCTGAAATAATCCAGGAGGAGATTTTTAAAGACAAAACAGTAGACAGCTTGTTTCTGCCCAAAGGTCAGCAGGATTGGGCTAAATCATTTTTCAAAGTTTCTTTATTCTAGGTTACTATGGTGAGAGCTAAAGATAAGAGGATTCTGGAAAGGCCTATTCCTGAAGTTTTCCTTAACTGTACATTGTTTTTGTCACTGGTGAGGACCCCTGATTCTTTGGGGCCTTCAAACAAAATAATAATATTATTCTCAGTTGAAGATGAACTAATTTCGTAGATTTCCATAACTCCTAGAGTGATTTCATTACCTTGTGTACTTCATACCCTCAAAGCATTTTGAAGCTGGTGACCCCTGACCCCACTTCCTGAGATCCTTTCCTGTGTAGGGATGGCACAGAAAGCCATAGAAGGAGTGTGGAAGTCTTCCAGCATTTTGAGTGAGTGAGCGGGAGTTAACCACAGTGGTGGATCCTGGGTAGTTTTCTGTATCTATTGACCTGTTGCAAGTCCTCCCACTGGTCCTAGGCAGGGGTCCATGCACATCCAGGTAACAGGGGAGTAGTCAGAAGGCAACCAGTGTCCCCAAGGCCCTGTCTCTACTGCTCAGACCGCTGCAGGGCTCACCCTGTCTTCCTCAGCCTGACGTTCTGTCTTCTTGGGATGGAGTTAAGCCTGTGAACCCGTCAATATTCAGAGTACTTCAGTAATTGGACTGAAAATCTCTAATGGCCAGATGACCCCAAAGACAAAGCTGTGTAAATGCAGGGTGCTGTGGTTTCTTTGAACAGACCCCCTGAGCTCAGATGTGGAGTACACAGAAGTGGAAGTGACCTCAGTGGAGCCCCACCAAGGTAAGTGCTGTACCTCGAGGAGCCACGCCCATGCTTTGCTCTCAATTTGGGTGGAGACGCCACCATGGGCTTGCTGCACCCTGTGGGAATAGAGCCTAGGAAGGGAGGTGGTCAGCAGATCTACTGGACATGCTGAAGGCAGGAGCCATGAAATTACACTGAGTCATTAGTCACGATCCTGCTAATAGGAGGTGACACCATTGAGCGCTCACTAAGTGTTAGCAATGACTGAATGCTGAGTAATTTCCTTCTCTGGATGAGACTTTGAGTGCAACCTTGCTTCTGGTGCTCAGGCCTTCTTCCAGAGGTCGTCCCTTGCCTAAACGCAGCAGGCTCTAAAACAGCTACCTGTGTGGACTGAATATGGGTCAACTGAATGCAGTTTCAAGATATGGAGGGCTTTGGTCTTTCAAGGGACACTTGGGAAAGACTTTTGAATCAGAATTTCTTTTTGGAGATACTAGGATTTGAACTCAGGGCCTCACACATGCAAAGCAGATGCTCTACCACTTGAGCCACTCTGCCAGCTCAGAGAAAGACTTTTGAAAGTTAGAATCCCTCTCTGTGTGAATGGTGGCATTGGAGCTGTGCTTCTCAGCTTTTGTGTTTGTGTGTGTGGTTCTCCCAGAAGCAAACTGCCTGGAAAGCTCCATCTCTGGTTCTGTGCTGGGATTGACACGGAGTGGGTCAGTCCACAGCAAACACCAGAATGTAGATCTCAGCTGCTTTTTTATTTTTTTATTTGATTTATTTTTGCAGTTCTGGGATTTGAACTCAGAAACTTGCACTTGCCAAGCAGGTACTGTACCACTTGAGCCACACCCCCAGCCCTTTTTTTCATTAGTTATTTTTCCAGATAGGGTCTCACATCTTTTTTGTCTGGGTTCAATTTAAGATTCCAATCCTCCTACCTACAGTCTCTTTTTTTCTTCTCCTTTTATTTTATCGTTTTTACATTTACTTACATGTGTATATATTGTTTGTGCCCCTCCCCCCTTCCATGTAGCTGGGATAACAGGCTCATGCTACCATGCCCAGCATATGGTTGCAATGGGGTCTCACTAACTTTTTGTCTGGGGTGGACTCAAACTGTGATGCTTCAGATCTCTGCTTCCTGAGTAGTTGGGGTTATAGACAAACACCAACCATGCCCAGCCCATCTCAGCTGCTTTTGGCACCTCAAAACAAGATGTGTCTCTTAACCCTCCTCCCTCTTAGCTCACCCACAAGCTCCTACATGTGCAAAGGAAGCAGCTATCCAGAGGCTTCCAGTCCCGCTGGGAAGCTTCTTGGGACTATTGCCATCCATCTCCTTTCCCACTGAGACTAAGGCCAGGCTGTGTCCTCAGCCAAACAGGCCTGGGCAGTTTTCCAGGCTGGGCCTGTCTGTCATTAGCCAGAGTCATGTGGTGATGGCATCCTGAAGTCACCTTTTACTCCATGATTTGGGAGGAGTTTGGGAGCCCTTCCTTCTCTAGCTAGGCATGGTTCTGGGCACCATGTTAGCATGTACATGCACTGAGCTTTCCTGTCGAGGCTGTCCTATGCAGCCACTAGTCTGTATGCTGCACCCTTGGGCCCCAGTCCTGTGATGCCGCATCCTTCTTTAAACCAATTCTTGGGGTCAACATGGAAACAGATTGAAGGGGGCAAAAATGGAAGCAGGGAGACTAGGGGTATGCCATTAGCAGGCAAGAGGAGACGAGGATGCAGCCAAAGTGTTGGCAATGGATAGATTGATTCTACATTTTGGAGATGATCAATGACAATTTAACAGCCAGGACAGGAGAGACTGTTTCTGCATATTTCTCGATGGAGTAAATGCATGGATGGTTGTGATGTCTGAGGCTGGGAGGAACAAGCTTGTGGTGAGATCTGATTCATTAGGTTAAGTTTGAGATGCCCATGGGCTGCTCAAGAGGAAGCAGTGCAGGGGTCTGGTGCCCAGAGGCAAGTCTTGGTGGTCTGTGATGGATGGGACTGTAGAGAGCTCCCCACAAGCCCTCCTTGGTCCAAGCTGAGCTTCACACACCCCTCTACCACTGTGTACTGCCCCATGGGTAACAGCTTTCTTCCTAAAAGGCTGGGCCACACAAAGATTTTGGCAGTTTCAGGGTTTGAACTCAGGGCTTCATGCTTGCTAGGCAGGTACTCTGCCATTTTAACCATGTATCCAGCCCTTTACCCAAAGATTCTGAATGTAAATGGAAAAACCCTGCTGTCTTCTTTGTTCTTGACCCTCCACACTCCACTGCCCTGATGCCAGAGGACAGGAGAGACCAAATCAGTGTGTTCTCTGTCTGTGTAACAGCTTCCCTGTTGCCCTAGGCTCTGGCACCAGGCTTTGGGTCCTCCCACAGAGGGCCAGGCCCTACCTGTGCTCTGCTGCCGACTAGGACAGAGTGGGCGGAACTATGAGGACCACCCATGGGGTCTGGGTTGCTTTGGGTTGAAGTAAGATGAAAAGGGAAGAAGGAAGTGATTCTGCCCTTGGAAAAGTGTCCATTTCCCATTCCTTCGGGAAGGTGTCCAGTTTAGCAGTGTCTGGGGTTTTTAATCCTCCCTTGGGAGGTTGCAGGAAGAGGAGGTATGGGGGTTGCTAGGATGGGGTGAGGCAGTGGCAAAGGCCTTATGCTTTCTTTATCTTGCAAGTACAGGTTGCAACCAAACCAATTGGTGGCCTTTCCCAACTTGCACAAGGTGCTGTGTGCACGGCATGGTATGAGGGTCACTTGGGTGGCCATGGGAGCTTCTAGAGGACTCAGGTTGAGCTTTCTCCTGTCAGCTTCCTCTTCAGAACTAAGGGACAGTGGGCAGGTCAGGCCTGACCTTCCGTGTTGGCCCCTTGCCTTCCCATGTGTGAGGAGTAGGTGAGGAGAGGGCTTTGTAGATTCAAAGTCAGTGATTTAACTTGACCTAGTCTTGACTAATCCAGATCCCTGCTCTCAAGGACTCCAGCTGTGGAGGAGGGGTTGGGGACCAGCTCTAATCCTGTCCACTGGAGGTAGAGGAGGGGCAGGAAGGAACTCTTAAATCCTGGCTTGTTGCATGTTTACTCCGAGACTAATTGCTGGGAAAACCCCATGACGTTGAAGCTATCTCTTTCTCTGTTAACACAGAGAAAACAGAAGCCAAAATAAAACCCCATCCGGAAACACTGCTGACAGCAGTGATAAATAGCCTGCTGCCCTGGTTTGGTCATTAGCAGGCAGCTGCTGCCACAGGATACAAAAGGAGGGGAGACTGGGATCACCTGCACCCTCTCCCCTCACTAAGTCACTCAACCTACAAGTAGAAACCACCTCTGCTACCCTACCAGTAGGAGTTACAAGGTGACAGAGAAGGAGTCAAGTGCTCAAGCATGGCTACTCAGGTCCAGAGAGTGTTAGCATGTCCCCAAGGTGACCAGAGAGGTCTTCTGGCCACCCCTATGTGCCAAAGGGCAGTGGAGCCTACAAGGTGCCCAGGCCCCCAGGCTCGGCTGACCAGCCCTCCCTATCATTCATCCCCTTCATTCCCAGCTCCACCAAGAGACTGTGACAGAGTTAGAGCTGGCAGTGCCTGCCTGCACAGCATCCTGTAGCGTTTATCACAGCATTGGTGCTCATTAGCAAACTCTGCTCACCTGTCTGTCCTGTGGACTAGAGCACCTGAAAGCTAGGACCGGATCCAGACATCTTTTCCTCTTCTACAGCACAAGGCACACCAGAGGTTATGTTGAATGGGTGACTTGTACAGGCCTAGCATTGAACAGATCTGGAGGATCCCCCCCAGCTGGTCTGGGGATCCCTAGAACTGGACACCTCCATCTATGCCCATCTATGCCCCTAGAACTGGAGAGTAGAGGATTGTCGGGGCATCTTTGCTGTCCCTCTGGAGGGACAGCAGGGTGTCCAACAGGGAAAAACCAGCAGGCGTCCCAGTAGTGACACCTCAGCCACTCCACTGAGCTACAACTCCTGTCCTAGAGAGTCACTTTGATGAGGCAAGGTGCCTCATCACCCCAGATGCCCCAAGTTCTGCTGTAGGGATGTGAACCACCCCCAGCCTTTCCCCCAGGAAACAAGAGAGCCACCAACTTTCAGTGTCTAATGAATGGCTGGGATTTTCAAATTCCTGCATCAACACATTTTTTTCTTTTTTGGTGGTACTTGGATTTGAACACGGCTTCAGGCTTGCTAGGCAAGCACTCTACCACTTGAACCACTCCACCAGCCCTTTTTTATGTTGGGTATTTTCGAGATAGGGTCTCGTGAACTATTTATTTGCCTGGGCTGGCCTTCGAACCATTATCCTCCTGATCTCTGCCTCCCGAGTAGCTAGGATTATAGGTGTGAGCTATCAGCGCCCGGCTCATTCTTTATTTTATAGATGAGAAAAACCTCAAGAAGGAGGCTTATTTTACCTAGACTGTCCTGAAGCTGAGAGGTCTGAGACAGAGACACCTGTACAATTGACTGGTATCTTCATTGTTGCATCAGATTCTCTTCGTACAGGAAGCTGTATGAAGCCCGGGAAAGGAGGTGCCCAAGACCTCAGACACTGCCCTGGAGGAACTTGGGGTTGACCAGGGGAGACAGTTAACAGAACAAATAAAGGAATGTGTTGTAGGTAAATGTCCCCAAAGTGCTGTGGGAGCTCAGGAGGCCCGTGTAACTGCCCAGGCACAAAGAGGAGTGTGTGAGGGTGTGAGATGTACACACATGAGTGCAGAGGCAAAAGTTGTCCAGGGCCTGGAGGAATGGAGCAGAGAAAAAGGCCATGTCAGCAGTGGAGACGTGAGGTCAGAAAGAGAAGGAGGTGTCCCTGGAGTGTGGTGCATGGTGGGTATCTCAGACAGAGTTCACATCATGCCCCAGCTATCTGCCACCAGATGAGAAATGACCACATAGCACTGACCATGGTGTCAAGAAGCATCAGACCCTTCTGGGACCCCTTTCCATCTTAAGAGGAGAGTATTGGCTCCTTTCCACAATGAGACTTCCTAGTCTTTCCTGCACGTGAGAGCAGCTGGGAAAATGACAAGGTTCCATCCTGTTTCCTCAGGGTTTATGGGTATGATGTGTGTACACCTATGTACAGGAGTGTAGAGATTGTGCACAAGTGTGTACAGTCAGCGTGCATGTCTGTGTACAAGCTGTGCAAGGGTGTGGGGTGTACGATGTGTGTACACATCCTGTGCAATGTGAGATAAACAAGTAGGTACGGGGCGCTTTTTGCCTCCCAAACCCATGAGTCGCCTCTGGGTGTAATGCACACCCTGGGTCGGTCTTCTTGTCTGCTATTCTGAAAGGGTGTAGCCCAGGGTATCGCAATCCCAGCTGCATATTGGAATCCTTTGGGGAGCTCTTAAACACACCAGCACCAGGACTGGTCTCAGACCAGTTCAATCAGAACCTGCAGTGAGTCTGAGTGTTGGCACTGAATGCAGCAAGCCTAGCCAGCCTGAGCTGCAAGTGGTCCTCAATCCAGCTGATCCTCAGAGAGCTGACCACGCCAGGCTCCAACAGCTGGCATAGGGTCACCATGGCAGAGAAAGAGGGGCCTGGCCACTGAGCTGAGGGCTGCAGACCTGTATGGAGTCCTTCCACCTTGGCATCTCAGGACCAGGGTTCCTGTTTGTAATAGCCCTGCCTCTCCTACTTCCAGAGATGACTCTGGTTAGGATGGGATCTTCTGAAGTCAGGGAATGACAGCGTCTCCAGAGTTGGACATGGGTGCTGCTGGGGTGGGTGGTAGGTACAGAGTGGGCTGTCATGGGGCCCAGTGGCAGCTACTAACTTGTGTATGGTCCCTTTTCCAGATCTGGGAACGAAGGGCACAGAGACAGTGTACAGTGAGATCCGGAAAGTCGACCCTAGTGAGTGAGGGGCCCCTGATTCTCCACCTGGCAGCAGGGGGTGGGGGGGGTGGAAGGGTGGTGTCCCCTAGAATTATTGATGGGGCCTTGGGAGTGGCCAGGGAAAAGATGAAGCAAAGGAAGCCCAAAAGAGCCTCACTTCTTACACAAGAGTTTTGGGCACTTTTCACACCACCTTTAAGTATACTGAGACACAGAGAAGTTAAGATGCTTGCTGAAAGTCAGTCACACAGCAAGAAAGCTCCTAAGAACAGCTCTCCCAGGAGCCAGACTCCACATCCCTGACCACTAAGGTGCATTGTTTTGTTTGGGGTGGGGGGAGCTGGTAGTGTTGGGGGAGCTGGTAGTGTTTGGGGATCACGGTGATCGGCACTGCAGGAAGCCAGTTCCTCATGACCTTGGCCTTGAGGCTCAGGTCTGTGATACCCTGAGGCCATCAGTAGAGCCCTTTTATACCTGGTGAAAGCCACCCCAGTGTGGACCCCAAGGAGTCTGTTTAAGAGGGGAAAAGCTTGTTGCTGCCTGAAGCTCTGCAACTTAGATAAGACAGAGAAATGAGAAAACTGGGTTTATTAACACAAAGAGGTATATGCTCACAAAATGCCTCAGTAATGAGCCCTGCATTAGGGTGATTGGAACTTGGGGTCTGTATAGCATATTAACAAAGAACAATAAATTTGTGAAGAAGTTACAAGACAAAGGAAAAGGGGCTTTAGGCTTCCAAGGGGGGCCAACCATGGGAAAACTAATAGAGTGAGGTTTGTTTGTGTGGGTCTATCCTGGCACCAAACTTTCTGTTTTTGTGGCCCTAAAACTTCCTGGGAGGAGGCATTTGTGGCAATCCTCATGCCTCAGAAGTGACTGTGTTACTTAGATAAGGAAGCTCTGGGAAGGCTCCTTTCTGCATCTGTTGATTTTCTTTTGCTTCCAACTCAAAATAGTCCTTATGCCAGAGTGGTGTATTCTGATTTCTTAACTCTGCTTTAGGGAAATAACCTATACAAGTGGGTTCTCTTGCAGTCCCCAGGCTGTTTCTTAGTCCTGAGCTGCTAGAATCCAACTGCTCCCTCAGGCTGGAACCATAAGGATCATAGAACCCAATCTTGTGGGAACTTGAGGTGGCAAAGATCCCTGGCTTTGCTGGGAGACATGAAACCCCTGTCCTGGTGCTGCCACTTACCAACTGTATGACTTTAACCAAGATGTCTTAGCCCTCAGTCCTACTGGAGATGCGATTAAGTGAGAGACGGGGGTACAGTAAGATCACAGGCAATATGGCTAACTATCCCAAGCCATCCATGTATTATCCCCACCCCATTCAACTTCAGTTTAGAAATGCAGGAGGGACCTGGGTCCTGGACAGTCTGATGCCTTGCCCAGGATGAGACTAGAGCCAGAGACCTCCCCCTATTCCCTCACCACGTGCGCCATGGGTGAATCAAGGCTCTGATCCCTCTGCAACCTAGTTTCTAACCAGGCACCTATAGAGAGCCCTGAGTCCTACATGCACTATACCCCTGGGCCTGCAGCTGCCTACAGCCAGAGCCTCTGCCTCACCTAGAAGGCTTCCGCTTCCTCTGGGCTTCCATTCTGGAAATCAAGGCATTCCTGAGAGATTCCCCTCAGCTGCTGCTCCAGGGGAGAAGCCTGCAGGCCGTAGCTGATTCCTTTGCTTTCCTCTTACTAATTTGCTAAAAGGCAGATATCCATTTGAGGGATTTCTCTCCTCAGTTCCCTGGACTACTGTCTTCTAGGGAATCCTTCTCCTTCACTCCCCACCCCAAATCAGGGTCCCTTTCTGCCTGAGAGAAGCCAGCTCCTTCAGCCCCCTGATAATCCACCAACCCTTGGGCTTCTCCCACACTGGTCTTTAACATACCTTTAAATTTCTCTCAGAGATTCTTAAGGCTTCTCCTCTCTCAATCCTCACTTAATCCTCAACATCATCCTAGGGTTGATGAGGACTCCATTATTCTGTTCTTACAGATGGGGAAATGGGTCCAGAGGTTAAGTGCTATGTCCTTGTCCTACTACTATTGGTGAAGCAGGGATGGAACCCAGGGAGCCTGGCCTAGATTTTGCTCTTCAAAGCTTTCCCAGTATCTCTTTGAGTTGTAAACCAGTCAGCTGCATGATTCTCCCTTGTCTATCTTTCTTGGTTTGGATTCTAAGAAACCATAAGTTTCATTGAGAATCTAACTCTATTTACTTCCAAAGTTAAGAGTAACACCTGTATGTGATCTGCATGACCCTGGCAAATCGTGGAACCTCCGAGGCCTCAGTCATCTCTGTGGAATGAGAAGGATGGGTTAGACTCTAGACCCATTGTTCTCAAGATTTGTTAAACACAGATTGCTTAGCATTGCCCCTTCTGAATTTCTGATCCAGTAAGTGGGAGAATTTGCATTTCTAACAAGTTTCCTCCATTTGGTTGTGTGGAAACACACTTTGAGAACCATTCTGAAGATATGTTCCTTGCTCCTTCCTGAGTACATCACACAGGTTCTCCTTGTTGGAGAGAAAAGGGTCTTTCTTACTCCCCAGAAATCCTGGAGTGATTGCTTAGGGTTGGCTGGCAAGGAAAACTCAGAAACACTGTCTGTGTGTGGCAGGGATGGTCTCCAATAAAATAAAGGGCCATGGAGGGGAGTGTTGGACAGACCAGTGGGCCAGCTGGGTGCAGAGCAAACCTTAGCTAATATCCCCTTTCCTCATTCCACACTTTCCTCCAGCCAGTGGCCTCAATGCTATTTTGGGAAATGGCTCACAGGGCATAGCTCTGGCTGTTAAGCCCCCTTTCCCCTGGTTGATCCAAAGGAAAGCCTCTCCCCTAGATAAGCAAAAGGGCATGGGCAGGCCTGCCTCCAACGAGCAGCCCCAGGGTGGGGCCCTGGAGGGACTTTTAGGGGGCACCAAAGAGATAGGAGTCTCTATGGGGGAGGTGACTGTCTTTGCAGTGTTGGCTTTAGGCTTAGCTTACCTTTTGATAATAATGATAATAATGATGATGAATATTAGTATTATTATTCATTACTGTAAAATATATAACAGTGGTCATTTTAACCATTTGCAAGTGTACAGTTCAGTGGTCACTTATATTATTGGGCAGCCACCATCACCACCATCCATCCCCAGAACTTTTCATCTTTCAGAACTGAGCCTCTGTACCCTTTAACCAACAATGCTGACCTCCCCTCCCTATGGCTAGCAACTGCCAGCCATTCTGATGTCTGTGAAAGTGGCCACATTCAGCTCTTCCATCTGTCAAATGAGGTAACCCAACCGATGATCTTAAGTTCCCTTCCACCCATAACACCCAGAGAGTCTTAAGGCTTGGCATTTGGAAGTGGAGCCTTGGTCCCTCCAGACCCGTCCAACTTAACATGTTGGAGCTGCCTGGGGAGCCAGTCACTTCTAGAAGTTAGTTCCTTGTTCTCTTGGAACCACCTCTAATCCTTAACCCGTCCCAGCTTCTCTAAGAGTCCATAGGTATTTTACTCCTAAGCTGAAAATTGCCCACAAATCTGAGCTAAGTCCTGGCTCTCAGTTGCGAGCTTGCTGTGTTTCTGCAGCGTTCATGTTGGCTGCAGTCCACACTGCATGGTTCTTTGTGCTGTGAGCCTAATGGAAAGCACCCTAAGTGGGAGATGCAGTCCTGGGTGTGGCCTCGGCTTTGGTCTTATGGGGTTACATGACTTGGACTCACTTCCCCTCAGGCATCAGTTCTCTCATCAGTTCTCAATAAAATGCCTCTGGGACTAGTGTGGTGAAGGGTGAGCCCCTCAGGTGCTCTCAGAGGGAAGGACTGAGGTGGTCAGGTGGCATCACTTCCAACTCAAGCATTCAGTGGTTCCCTCTGGGTCATGGCCAAGGTTGTATGAGTCTGCTACTGTATGTGAAGCCTCATATGTACGGACATAGATAAGCTTACGTCTTCTGGTCCCAGCAATTAACTCTGAGGCAAGGGAACTTCCAGATCTTTGAGCTTTTTTCCCTTTCCAGCTGCTACATGGGACATGTGCCCTGACTGTTCAAGAAGGGAGAAGAGGGAATCTCAGAACTAGGAAAGTAAATAAGAAAGACACCAAATTGAGAGAGGCCTAAGAAGAGAGCAAGCACTGGCTTGAAGGGCATTTGCCCTTCAGTAACCTTGGGCTGTCTGAGGGGAATGGGGTCGTGCTGATATTTTCTCCTGTTTGTTTGTTTATTCAGTGGTGCTCGGGATGGAACCCAGACCTGAGCACCCACTCTATCACTAAGCTACATCCCCAGGCTTTCCTAATAGTTCAGATTTGTAAGTTTAGTACTTGAGGTTTTTGAAAGTTAATTTCCCTTTCAAGGGATTTGCCTAAGGTTAGGATTTTGCAAATCCCAGTCAGCAAGGGGGTTAATTTGGTTTACCAGAAGAGGGGAGCTACATCTGTGTATATATGTCTTAGTAAGCAGTGTGCAGGTGGTACGAAGTGACCAGAAAGCAGCCCAGATTACAATTTGGTATATTTCTCTCTAGCACTTAACTAGAACCCATTTACTCTTACTGTTACACCCCTGAGGGGTGTGTGTGTGTGTGTGTGTGTGTGTGTGTGTGTGTGTGTGTGTGGTGGTTCTCCTCTTCCCCCTCCTCTTTCTCCTCCCTCCTCCTCTTTTTCTTCTTTTCCTTCTTCTCCTTCTTCTTCTCACCTCATGCATGCTAGGCAAGTGCTCTACCACTGAGCTACATCCCCAGCTCTGGAGACATTTTTGGTTGTCACAACTTTGGGGGGGCAGTGCTGCTCCATTTGGTCGGGGAGGCCAGGGACACTGCTAAACATCTTATAGTGCATTTCATGGCCTCTGTCACAAAGAATTATTCCACCCAAAACGTCTGCAGGACCAACATTGAGAAACCCTGACTTAGAGGACCTTGCCTTCTGCAGCTCTCCAAAAGGAGACACTTCCATGCCAGCTCTTGCTTTCCCTGTGCCCACCTTGGGAAGTGACCTGGACCCTTCCCTCCCATACCCCTGGCCTGGAGGAGATACCAAGTCTTGATCTAGGCACCATGAGTCAGCTGGGGTCCCTCTCCCCATCTGAATATCAGCTCACTGTGCCTTCCACTCCTGCCTTCTCTTTGCCTGGAATTCAGACTTGCTACCCAATATTAAAGAGTGGCTGGACAGTTACAAAGAAATGGTCATCAAGAAAGAACAAAGAAAAAGTGGTTTCTCAGCAAGAAAGTGCCATCTATGAAGGTCAGGGCCCTCGCTAGACACTGAATTTGTGAGTGCCTTCATTTCAGATTTTCCAGCCTTCGGAACTGTAAGCAATAAATTTCTCTTGTTTGCACACTAAAAAGAGAAAAAACAAAGAACAAGAGGCTTCTAGGCACGTGAGAAAGCACTTGACAGTCAACTCCCACCCATCCTGCGAGGCCCAGAGCCAGCTGGGCCAGTGGCATTGTCACCCTTTCTCAGCATGCAAGATGGTAAAAAAGGACTCCCTGCCAAAAATGTGGATGCTACCCCCTAAATTCTGCTTTTATGGCGGTTGCTGTATTACCGAAAAGAAACAAGCGCTACAAGTGGGCATAGACTAGTATTTCTATCGTTATTTTCAGTGTGTTTGCGTTTTTAGCATTTTGTGCTCAGATTGCCTTAGGAGACACAGCCCTGTGACGCTTTTCCCGTGACTGGCTCCAGAGCCCTTGGGGATGTGAGAGAGGCAGAGTTTGGGGTCCTTTGGGTCCTCCCAGGTCAGACCTGGGCCGGGAGGTGCTGCCCATGGCCTCACCCAGTGTGTGGAGAGCAACACAATGGCTCCACCTTGTGGCTGGGCTGACTCAGACACCTAGCCATTGCTATCCGCCTCTTAGAAACCGCTGCTCCTGTCCTTCTAGAAGGGAAGAGTAAAGCAGTGTGATAAGTCAGGGCTGAGGGCAAGGTAGCCGTATGGAGATGAGAGAGCTTTAAATTGCAGAGACAGAAGCACTGTGCTCCTGCTGTGAGATGGGCCCCGAAACTGCCCACAGTCCAGCGGGGACTGGGTTCAAGCTTAGGGATGGACACAAAGTGGAGCTGTTGGAGCGCTTTTCTGGAGTAAGTTTGAGGACCTGGAGTGGGGTTATAGCTCGCTCACCATTGGCTCCCCCGCTTTCAAAAGCAGCGCCCACCTAACCCCCACATCTCTCCCAGTCTTCCCCAGCAGCAGGTGGCATCCCCATTGCTACTCTGTCTTCAAGTCTGTGTCCACAGTAGGCTCCGGGTGTCTGACCACCCAGAAACTCTGGTGTGAGTGGGGGCCTGGTCCCACCTAAAGGAGCAAACCATTCCCCTAGTCAACCCCTTGTAGTGAAAACCACTCTCCTTAACGCAGACGGTGACCACTCACCCTCCACACACAGCTTCCTGTCCTCGCTGGCTCTTGTCACCCCCTCTCTCCTCTTCTTGACATTTCATCTGGGCCATCTGTGTGATCTGGCCTGGCAGGGCCAGCAAGTCACAGCATGCACTCTGGCAAAACCTGACGTGGGCTCCAGAAGACTTGAGATGAGACATCCCTGGGGAAGTTTAGGTGGCAGCCCTGCCCTGCAGACAAAAGAGACTTGCTCAGTTGGTCCCGAACCCTGGGAAGGGGTAGACAAAACAGAATGAGATATGGAAATAGCTTTATTCCCAAAGAGGATGCTGGAGGCATTATTTAAAATAACAAAAATCTAAAAAGAATCTAACTTTTTTTAATCTACCTATGTATATATTTATTCGGTGGCATTGGAATTTGAACTCAGGGCCCTCTGCTTGCTAGGCAGGTGCTCTACCACTTGAGCCATGCCCCCGGCCCTTTTAGCTTTAGGTATTTTTCAGATAGGGTCTCATGTTTTTTTGCTTAGGCCAGCCTGAACTGTGATCCTCCTACCTACAGTCTCCTGTGTAGCTGTGATTATAGAGGCACATGTCACAACTAGCTTTTTTGTTGAGATGGAGTCTCACTAATTTTTTAGCTAGAACCTAACTTTTTAAAGTAAAGATCTGGTTAAGTGAACAGTTGCAGACCAATTACAGGATAGCTGCTTTAACAATTATGTTTACCAAAGTACCAGAAAATGCTTACAAAGACTGGACAAAAAATATCATATACTTTGTAATTGTTTCCTCCCACTCCCTTCCCCCCCCCCAAAAAAAAGGCCTATGCATAGTAGAAAATGGACAAAAAATATCATATACTTTGTAATTGTTTCCTCCCACTCCCTTCCCCCCCCCCAAAAAAAAGGCCTATGCATAGTAGAAAATGACTGGGAGAAAAGTGTCAGCAGGTTTGGAAGATGGGGCCAGAGATTATTTTTTTGCTACTTTCTACTTTGCTGTTGTTCTCAATATTTTCCTAAAAAACATGTGCTAAACATTTTTTTCAAAAAACTGTTTAAAATGTCAAATACCAGGGACTTTATATGTCTTTTGCATAGCACTACAGGGCCCCCAGGAACCTGTCTATGTTTAAAGGACCTAGACTGGGAATCTAGGCACTTATGGCTCATTTAACAAGAAATAGCCAGGCATAGTGGTTCAAACCTATAATCCTATTTGGGAGGCTGAGATCAAGAGGATCATGGTTCAAGGCCAGCCTAGGCATGAAGTGAAGCCCTATCTAAAAAAATAATTAGTGCAAAAAGGGCTGGTAGAGTTACTCAGGTGGTAGAGTGCCTGCCTAGCAAGTGCAAGGCCCTGAGTTTAACCCCCGTACCTCCAAAAAAGAAAGACACAGAGTCAGTGGGTGGGCACGGTTGTGCAATCCTGTAATTTCACTACTCTGGGAGGCTGAGGCAGGAGGATCAGGACTTTGAGCCAACCTGGGCTACATAGTGAGTTCCAAATTAACCTCGACTACCTAGCAAGACCCTGTCTCAAAAGAAGAAGGAGGAAGAAGAGGATGAAGAGGAAGAGGAAGAAGTAGGAGGAGGAGGAGGAGAGAGAAAAGAAGTGTAGAGGCCCAAGTTCAAATTGTGTAAAGACCTGTGTCCCACTGCCTTCCAACTCTAACCCTTTCTATGAGCCGCTCAGCAGCGCAAGAGTTAACAGGGCAGCTACTATCTTCAGAAATGAGGACTTCGCCTCATGAACTGCTTCTTTAAGGTCTGGGAGGAACTTTCAGCAAGACTTCTTCTAGTACTTCCAGCGGGCCCCTGGTTTCCTTTGTTTTTTCCCAAGTCTGAATTCTTATAAAACAGAGCTCATTATGCCTTTGACAGACAGGAAGGCGCTGACATTCTTTTTATGGAGGAAAGCTATCAATTTAAGGAAAAGAGGAATGAAATGAATGTCTTTTTCTAGCCTACCCCCACCCAGACTTCTGAAATCAGAGACTGTTGCATTGAAAGGGCAGGGAGCCCAATTTATAGATGGGGAAACTGAGGCCTGGATTTTTTTTTTGTGGTACTGGAGTTTGAACTCAGGACTTACACTTTGAGCCACTCCACCAGTCATTTTTTGTGATGGTTTTTTTTTTTTTTTTTTTTTTTTTTTGAGATAGTCTCATGAACTGTTTGCCCAGGCTGGTTTTGAACTGCAATCCTCCTGATCGCTGCCTCTTGAGTAGCTAGGATTACAGGTGTGAGCCACCGGCACCTGGCCAGTCTGGGCTTTTCTTGTGAGTGTGTCTTGCAACCTAGTCTTCCTTCGGGCAAACCTGGACCAAGAGCGGCCAACAGCTCCCTCCTTGGCTTTCCACCCAGTACAATCCTCTTTGGTTCCGGCTTTTTTTTTTTTTTTGTGGTACTGGGATTTGAACTCAGGGTCTATACCTTGAGCCATTCCACCAGCCCTTTTTTATGATGGGTTTTTTCAAGATAGGGTCTCTCAAACTATTTCCCCAGGCTGGCTTTGAACCACAGTCCTCCTGATCTCTGCCTCCTGAGTAACTAGGATTGCAGGTATGAGCTACCGGCACCCAACTTTGAGGCCCGGATTGAAACAACTGCTTGCCTAAGGTTATCCAGAGCCAGGAATAGAGCCCAGGGCTCTGTCCCCAAGATAAGAAATGAAGTTACTGTCCCAGCAGTAATAGCTTCAAGAGAGGGGAGAGTGAGAACTTTGTCCCATAGGCAGTGTAGAACCCTGATAAAATGTGTTCTTCCACTTTGATAAATTCAGGGCTGCTGCTGAAGGGTAGATACCCTGCAGGACTGACTTATTTACTTTGTCTTCCATCCAAAGGGTCCAGCTAGACAAAAGCTCAACGCTCTAGGCCAGACAAAACTTTCCCTTTCCCCAGAAGCTGGCCCAAAAGTCTGCTCCCAGGATACTCCTGAGAACTCACCAGGCTGATCCTACCCTTGCCCCTCAAATAATAAAGCCATTTGGCAGGAGCGCAGGGGTCCCCAGTCATTGGGAAAGAATTTTGAATCTTTAAGCGAATGGGTTTTGTTTAGAGAAGAAGCAGGTATAGTTTCCGTAATAGTGAGCCATGCAGGTCAGGAGAAAATTAATTGAATTGCCCAGCAGGGAAATGGGAGGGGATTTCCTTCCTGAAATCAGACGTGGCAATCATTCTGCTCTTATTTAATGGCCGTTGCTTCTGAAAACATATGGAGGAAATATCTGAACAATGAGAATGCCACTCAGCCAACGACTAATTTGGTATTGTTTGACTTGCTTCAATGGTACATTCTGACTTCATTTTTCCTCTACCATTTTTGCCTTGTTTATAAATTGTATTTGTAGCCAACACAGACAGATAATGTGAAGGAGAACACCCTGTACTCATCAAAGGCAGTGAATCTGGACCTGCAAAAGTCTTGGGATCTTGGCAAAAACCTGCTTTCTTATGGGCGGTGGGTGGAGAGAGCCAGTCACAGTTTCCTTCCCTCCTTTTTGGGGCTGGCAATCAGCTGGGCTAGAATGGAACCTGCCCAGGAGCAGGGTTCAGGTTACTGGAGAGTGGTTTCCACCTTGCAGTTTGTGGCCAGCCCAGGCAAAATGTTTGGGAGACCCCATCTCAATCAATACAGCCTGTCATCCCAGTTAAACAGGAAGCTGAGATTGCTGGGCTTCCAGGCCAGCCCAGCAAGAGTTTGTGAGACCCCATCTCAATGGAAAAAAGCTGGGTGTGGTCATAGGTGCCTGTCATCTCAGCTACATTAGGGGGTGTAAAATAAAAGGATCAAGACCCAGATCAGCTTGGGCAAAAACCAAGACCCGATCTCCAAAATAACCAAAGCAAAAAGGACTGGAGTTATGGCTCAAGCTGTAGAGTGCCTGCCTAGCAATCAGAAAACCCTGAACTCAAACCCTAGTACCACCACATAAAAAGAAAACACACATACACACCCCATGATAAAACCTCTTACTATGTTACAGTTTAATATATGAGGAGATTTACTTTATTTGACCCCAAAATGGTCCTGCCACACTTGGGGAACTTAGTAGTTGCTTACCCAAGGTGCAGGATTCCACTAAAACCAGGGTTTAACTTAGGAATCAGAGGCCCGCATTCAAACTTGACTGGCCCCTAACTAGCCACTTACTAACCTGATCACTTTGGGTAAACTTCTTAGCCCCTCAAGACCTGTTTCCTTGTCTGTAAATCGAGCATAATAAAACTCCTCACCTACCTATTGGGACGATTAAATGAGCATCCTGGTATATTGAAAGTGTTCATATGGGGAACTTTCTAGAAGTTGGAATTAGGGTACCCAAGGAGTGTAGGAGTCAAAATGGCCTTTGAGGGGGTCTGCACCATGCTCTGGTCAGAAGCAAGGCATAGCTGAACTTGGGTGGCTGATATCTGGCCTGTGACTGAAGCTCAGCAAGCCCAGTACTCAGATGTGAGCAGGTTAACCTTTACCTCAGAATCCCCAAGGCCCTGTTGATATTGGCACAGCCCTTCCTGTCTGTGGTATTGCAATGCCCAGACTGTTGTCTGCCCTCAGAGAGGGAGCGCAGAAGCGTTTTTGGGGAGGGACTTGGTCTGGAGCCTACAGAAAGGCTAGACCCCAGGATCATGTCTCCCTAGGGCCGGCAAGGGGGAAGTAGAGGAAATGGTAAGAGGGTAGCCAACAGTGCTGGCAGGCCTCCAGCCCTCTGGGGCCACACAGCTTTCTTGGCCCACTTGCCTAGGTCTCTCCTGGCAAGGGAGGAGTCAGAGCCGTGGCTTGCTAGTTAGGGTCCCTCAGTTCTGCATCGTGTTTCCAAAAGTCTCAAAACCAGGAGGACCAGAACAAAATGGAGACACTGCCCAGCAGTGCAGTTGCCAAGACTCTGGACAATCCCTGCCTCTTCTCTTTCTTTGTTTTTGCAGTACTGGGGTTTAAATTTGGGGCCTTGTGCTTGTTATGCAAACACACTACCACTTGAGCCACACCACCAGTCCCCCTACATCTTCTCTTGCTCCCTGAATTCTACCTGTAGCAGGATGTCCCATGCCCATGGAGGGCCCAGAATAGTGGGCTCAGATGCGTCCTGCTTTTATGGGAATTCCATTGCCCAGGGAATCCCTGTTCCAGCATCTTCCAGGATGCTCAGCTCTTGGGTTTTTTCCACTTATCAAAATCTGACCTTTGAGTTATGCTCCAGGGTCAGTTTTATGACCCCCTTGCCGCTGGGCCCAGGATCTTCTCACTGCCTCTGAATTTCTTTTGCCCTTTGTTAATGCTTCTTGTACCTCTACCTCATAGAAGTGTTGTTTTCCAATCATTGATAGAACCTAAAACCCTTGAGGGGCAGGTTCTTTCGTCCTCAGCATAGAAAAGAATATGGCGTCAGATAAGGGCCCAGGCACTGGTAGATGTAGGTGACACAAGGCTATTAGAATCAGTTCAAGAAGGCATAAAAATCTTTTTTGTCTTTACTGGTGAACTAAACCCAGCCTAAAATGCACCATTTAAACATTTAATATTTTCAAGTGTATAATTCAGAGGCCGGGGTCATAGGCAGCTCAGTGGTAAAGAACTTGCCTAGCATGTGTGAGGCTCTGGTTTGATACTCAGCCCTGAAAAAAAATTAAATAAAGTAGAATTCAGGTGCATCAGGTGCATTTGCATTGCTGGGCAGCCATCTACACTATCCATCACCAGAACTTTTTTGCCGCCCCAAACTGAAAATCTTGATTCCTGTTAAACATTTAACTCTCAATTGCCCCTCTCTCCACACCTAGCAACCACTGTTCTACCTTCTGTCTCTACAAATTGGGCCATTCTTGGTGTGGAATCAGATGGTATTTTTTATTCTGTGTCTGGCTTAGCATAATTTTTTCAAGATTCATCTCCATTGAAAGATATCAGAATTTTATTCCTTTAAGGCAGAATCATCATCTTAAAACACTTACGTTTAACAACTTGTTGAGTCCTTTATTTTTTTGAAATGAAAAAGGTAGACCTAAAGAGGTTATGACTCTTTTTTAACCTTTATTTGTATTTATTTTATGCTGAATTTATTCCCATTCTGTAAGTTTTGTTTCTTCAGTTTCTTCTGGGGTATCTTTTTCTTCTCTGCACCCTCTTCTTCTGGTTTAGGAACAATTTTCCTTTTCAGTGAGGATCAGCTCGATGTGGTAGGGAAACTCACACATGGTTTAATTTGACCATGAGCTTTGTAGGCTCAGCAGCACATCCTGGGTCTTTCTTCACCTGAATATGTTCAGTGACCAGAGAATCTACATCCAAATCCTTCAGTTGGCATCACTCTCTGCATGTTTAAGCACGTGCTCAAAAATTCAGCATTCTTTTTGGGCCACCAACCCTGTGTCCAGCCCCACTGTTTGGCCTGGGCACACCTACCAACTCCACCACTGTAACACTGGGATGGCACACACTGCTTCTTTGAAGTGACAGCTTTCAGATACTTGGTGGCTTTTCAAACAGGCATACCCCTGATGGCCTGGGCAATTTCTCAGGCCCTCTTAAAGTGAACATGAAGATTCGAACCTCTCTTTTTTATTTATTTAATTTTTTTGTTGGGACTGGTGTTTGAACTCAGGGCTTCACACTTGCAACACAGGCACTCTATAGATTCTGCCACAGCTCCAGTCCATTTTGTCTGGTTATTTTGGAGATGGGGTCTCCCAGCTGTTTTCCCAAGCTGACCTCGAACCATGATCCTCCCAATCTCAGCCTTCCAAGTAGCTAGGATTATAGATGTGAGCCACCAGTGCTCAGCTTGAACCTGTTGATCTGCATGGTTTTTTTCTGGGTCAAGAGAGTAGAGAACCATTTTCACAGGTCACCTCAGGCCACTTAGGGGAAGAGTGAGCATGTCTCATTTTAGCTAGAGACAGAGCTGGAGTTGGAGCTAGATGCTCATAACTAATGGCTCCATTCTTCCCCTGGGGGTAAGTGTGGCACCATGGACACCTTGCTGGGCACTTGATGCAGTTGCTTGGATGACTGATGTGCCACACGTGTGCAGGAATAGAGGAAGGTGAGGAGGGAGAAATGAGTGTGAGCGGAGCTGTCTGGGAGGGTGGGATCCCAGGGGGTGACTGCCAGGTTTGCAGTTCCTTTATGAAGTGCTGTCTGCCACTTTACATCTCTGTCTAGCAGGGCGATCTTCAGTCCTGAGACTATGACCACAACTCGTCTCTTGTCATTACAGAGAACGGAAGGCTCCCTTGATGGAGTTTAGGACAGCGAAGGCGGGTGCACATCCCTGGGAGGACATCCACATTCCAGGAAGAGCAGATGACTCCCATACTCCCAGAGCTCTGTGTATTTTCATGCTCCCACCGAACACAGCAATTCCTCAGGCCAAGTCACCAGTTCTTAACTAATCCATCCTGCCAAGTTCATGTCAGATATAAAGAGTTTCAGAGAGGCTGTTCAATTGCCCACATGGCCCTCCTCCCAAGTTGGAGCATCCTTGCAATTTGGAAGAGCAGAAGGAGGCTCAGAGTAAACAGGCCACGGGGATATTTTGAAACTTGAATATTTTGTCTTGGACAGAGATAAAGAACTTTTCTGTGTGTCCTCCTCCAGAGACACCAGTTTTTGTTTAATAGTTAATCACTCTACTGAATGGTCTGGTGTTGGGCTAGTTTTTGGTTTTGTTTTTCTTTTCCTTTGGTCTTTCAAAGGCCTTTGGTTCTGGGTCGTCCTTGTTCTTTGGAAATACAGCACTGACAAGATACCTTTCCCCTGTCCCTCCCGTGACTTCAGCCACCACAAGTGGGAAAACAAAGCCATTTGGGAGCAACTCCTTGAAAATGCCAGCTTGAAAAGACAAGGCTTACAGTGAGCAGTGCTCAAAAACAGAGTGAATGTTCTTAACCTGTGTTCTAGATCTTTCCTTTCCCATGCTGAAGGCCAAAAGGAGAAATGGTTGCCTACAGCAAATATTATTTTTAATAGAAAAATGAAATGTGTATTTTTCTTACTAATTTTTTTTAATTTATTCCTTGCTAAAGAAATGGTCTCCTGAGGTCTTGGCAGGAAGGAAGATGTGGCCATTTTGCAGTGGAGAGGGTACAATGAATCCAAATTCCCTTCCTTGTCTGCCTCAGTGACACAGCCTGCAGGATCCTGTGTGTGGGGGGGATTGTATTAAATAAATTTGATTTTTACTCTTCATGCATCTGTGAAATGTCATCTTCTGAGAGGCTACCTGTAGCCTTCAAGGACTCCCCAGGCCTCTGGAGTCACAGAGAGAACCAAGCTGGTGTCATCAGCAGGCTGAGACTTACACAGACCAGAGGAAGTTTGAGTCTCAAACACCCAGTCATTGAAGAATTGAAACCCCTTATCTAGTGCCTTCGTGCTTCCAGCAAAGCCTCCTGGCCATCCCTGGCAGGCAGGTTTGTCAGATGCCCAGCTCAATTTGACTTTCAGATAAACAACATATTTTTTTTTAGTGTAAGCATGTCCCATGGAATGTTAAGAATATTGTTGATATTAATTTTTTTTCATTTATCTGAATTTCAAGTGTAACATCATCATTTTTTTGCCAACCCCACTGGCATGAGTTCTCCCCAGTTCCCCACTAGTCCTCAGGAACCGTCCTCTCTAGGGATGTTGAGCCTCCCCCCCCCCCCCCCCCCGCCCCAGGCCTCCATCAGAGCACCTCTGTGCTGAGCAGAGAGGGAGAGGGAAAGCCAAGTACCCATCCCAGCTCTGCCAGCTTCCAACTGCACAAACTTGAAGGAGCCGCTTAGCCTCTGAGCTTCAGTTTCCTTATCTCTCAGATGAGATTGGACTGGGGAGTCCTTGTTTGAAAGTCCTTTGAAATTTTTATAAAACAGCTGGGCATGGTGGCACAGGCCTGTGTCCTAGCTACTTGGGAGGCAAAGGTAGGAGGATCTTGGCTCCAGGCCTTGGCATATCCAACAACAAAATAAAAAGCAAAAGGACTGAGGCCCCTGCTCAAGTGATAAGAGCACTTGCCTAGCAAGCTTGAGGCCTGAATTCAATTCCAGTATGACCCAAAACCAACAAAACAGAGCCAGACGCCTGTGACTCATGCTGGTAATTCAAGTTACTTGGGAGGCTGAGATCAGGAGGATCATGATTCAAGGCCAGCCCAGGCAAATAGTTCGTGAGACCCCTATCTCCAAAATAACCAGAGCAAAATGGACTGGTGGTATAGCTCAAGTGGTAGAGCACCTGCTTGGCAAGCATGAAACCCTGAGTTCAAACCCCAGTCCTGCCAAAAAGCTGGTGGAGTAGCTCAAGTGGCAAGAGTGCCTGCCTAGCAAGCCTGAGGCCCTGAGTTCAAACCCCAGCACTGCCAAAAGAAATAAGCAAAAAGAATTCCCAGTCCTACAAAAAAGAAAAAAAAAGTGATTAAAGGTAAGGGGATTCCTGCCCCCAGCTCCAGCACACACACAAAGTTATATCACAAAAAATCTCATCTTTCCAAGGTTTCATGGCCACAGGCTCAGGATGAACCCAAAGGATAGAAGACAGTTGAATGACCTCGAATGTCCTTCAGGTCTAATGTGTCAGTGATCTGAAGCAAATGTCACTCCTTAGTCTCTTGCTGCCACTAAGCAGGGTCACCCCTGTGGAAACCTCGAAGACCCCGTTCCTACTACTGAGCCCTGTTTCTGGAGCATGCAAGAGTTTTTCCATTGTTCTCCACCTCTCCATACTCAAGGATCTCCTTAGTTGATTTAATGGCAAGAAACTTCTCTTTAACTCCAGGACCCTGACTCCAACCTTCCTAACCAGTTGGCATGACCAAGGGTCTAAGCCTGAGTGTGTCACAAGAGCATGCTCACCAGGGGATGCTAGTCCTCACTGTAGTCAGTACTGAAGGACTTACGCAGCCCTTTGCAAACTTGTGGAAGAATGTTTGTCCTCTCCCAAGTTGCTACAAGAGGTCAGCCACCCATTTTATGAACATATATTCGTCCCCACCCATCAGCATTCACTGACTGACTAACTGAACTTACTCCTGGACCTACAGTTGAGGAGCAATGTGACTCCAAAGTCAACTTTTATTTGTTAAAGCAATGGTTCCCAGCCAGGTCAATCTTGTCTCCTATTGATCATTAGGTAGCATCTGGAGACAATTTTGTTTGTCACAACTGGTAATGGGCCACTGGAACATGGTGGATAGAAACCAGAGGTGCTACCAAGCGTCCTGCGTGTACAGGACAGTCTCCCACAACAAGGAACCATCAAGGTCAAGGTACCGAGGTTGAGAAACTGGGTATTGAACCACCTCGCTATTCATTTCGATGCTTAGCACACTTGTACCTGTTGCACTCTGTGGTCTTCACATGTGCTGAGTGTTGGGTGGGAAGGTCACAGGACTCCTGTCGCCCTTCTGAACACACGGTCCAGTACAGATACAGATGAGTAGAGAGGCAACCACAACACAGCCTGGCAAGGGTCGTGGTGGAAAACGAAAATCACTTAGTGGGGACACCTGGAAGGGGCACAAGTGGGTGACAGGGTAAGTCCAAGAGGAAGGTGTGTCCAATCAAAGAACTGACATAGGTGAAAGTCACCGGGTGGAAAAGTCAGCAGATGAAAGAAGGCTCAAGAAGACTTAGAGGCCGTCCTCATTAGCATAGTGGTGAGTATCCCCACCTGTCACACGGGAGACCAGGGTTCAACTCCCCAATGAGAAGGCAGACGCCCTTTTAGCTGGGTGCCCATGGCTCACACCTGTAATCCTAGCTGCTCAGGAGGAAGAGATCAGGAGGATCATGGTTTGAAGCCAGCTAGGCAAATAGTTCTCAAGACCCTATCTTGAAAAAAAAAAAAAATCACAAAAAAGGCCTGGTGGAGTGACTCAAGGTATAGTCCCTGAGTTCAACCCCCTCCCCCCAAAAAAAAGGCTTGGAGGAGGGAGTAGTGGTACACTCCTGTAATCCCATTAGTTCGGGAGCTAGAAGTAGGAGGATCTCAGCCAAGGCCTGTCTGGGTGAAGTTAGCACAAGACCCTATCCAAAGAATCAAACTAAAAGCAAAAGAGCTGGGGGTGTAGCTCAAGTGGTAGAGCACTTGCCTAGCAAGCATGAGGCCCTAAATTCAAACCCCAGCACAGCAAAAAAGGCCTGGAGGCAAGAGAGAGCATAATATGCCCTTGGAAATAGCAGAAGGACAGTCTGCTAGCCCCTGGTGCCTTCCAGCCTCGTGACTCCACTAGTCCTCTTGGTTTCCATTGTCCCCTGGGAATTTCTGTCACACTCCCACGCCTGCCTCAGGCTTTGAGGACTTAAGGGAAGACCCCTGAAGGTGCTGAAGAATGCAGCTCCTCCGTGCAGTTGTTTGTACGATTCTCTCCACTTGTGTCGTTAGCAAGGAAGATCCCTCTGCTACAGAGGCTGGAGTCAGCCTTTGCCCTGCAGTGGTGCAGGTGAGGGAGACAGCTCCCGGTGTGCTCTTTGAAAATACTGTCCCCAACTGAAGTCTCGACCTGGGCCCACACAGTGGAAATGGAATTCCCTGAGAGCAGGTGCAGAAATCGTGAGGGTGTTCCATTGTCTGGGAAAGAATCCACAGCTTCTACCAGTTTTTGAAGGGAGATGTAATCCAGAAAATGGTTAAGAACATCTAAATAATTAAAAATTCCCATATACTAAAACCTCCAAAATAATAGTTAATGTCTCTTATCAAAGGGTCTACCTCAGGCTTTGGGGTGTTGTTCAGTGGTAGAGCGCTTACCTAATATATTCAAGGCCCTGGGTTCAATCCCTAGCACTGCAAAAAGAAAAAATTAACTACTTCAAAGATAGGAGTTTTATATCCAATTTCTCCAGCAGAGTCCTGGAGAAATTGCTCAGAATAAATCAGTGATTTCAACATTTAAAACAGGCAACCCACATCTCTCAAAAGTAATAATCTCTTAGACTGTTTTTGGAATACCAATGGACAGGCACCAAATTTATTAGAAAACTTCATAACCCAAGGATAACCCAAGGTTTTGTCATTGTTGTTTTGGCTTTTTCTTTTTTGCAATACTGGGACTTGAACTCAGGGCCTCACACTTGCTAGGCAGGCACTCCACCCCTTGAGTCACTCCGCCAGCCCTTCATTGTTGTTTTGAAACGGTCTTGCTATGGAGCCCAGATTGATTTAGAACTCTTTAGTCTAGGGTGGCCTCGAATTTGCCATCCTTCTGCTTCAGAATTCCAAGTGCTGGGAGTACAGGCACATATCACCACACCCAGCAGTCCAAGGTATTTCTAAAGCCTGAATTGTCCCTTCATATAGCTCATGTAGGGCTGGCATTGTGGCTCAAGCCATAAGAGCGTCTGCCTAGTGAATGTGAGGCACTGAGTTCAAACCCCAGTGCTACCAAAAAAACAAACTAGACTTAGATCATGTAATTCAGTAGGAAATGAACCTTGACACTAGAAGGGAAGCATCTGTGTTCAGACAGCATGAAGGGTGTTGGAAAGCAAACGAAATTCTTAAAGAAAAATAAAAGGTAAATTGGAATCAGAGATTGGTAACCAATTGACTGCATGATCTTGGAAATGTCACATGTCCTAGGATTCATCTCCTCCAAAAGCAAGTGTATTTTTTCCCTAGGGTTTCCATAGCAAAGTACCACAAACTGGGTGATTTAAAGGAACAGATATCTATTCTCACTTGGCTCTGGACACCAGAAGTTCAAAATCAAGGTGTCAGAAATGCTATATGCCCTACAAAGGCACTGGGGAAGACTGTCGCTTTGCCTCTTTTCACTTCCAATGATTGCTGGCAATCTTGGTGCTCCCTGGCTTACAGCTGCATCACTCCAACCTCTGCCCCATCATTGCATGACATTCTGTGTGTGTGTGTGTGTGTGTGTGTGTGTGTGTGTACGTCTGTCTATCCATCTGTTTTTACATGGCCTTCCTATAAGGACATCAACCATTGAATTTAGGGCTCGCCGTACTCCATTATGACCTCACCATAACTAATCGCACCTGCAAAGACCTTATTTCCAGATATGCTCTCATTCTGAGTCTCCAAGGAGACACAAATGTTGCGGGGACACTAGCCAACCTGGTACACAAAGAGACATGACAAGCTCACAGCATTGTAGCTCTGACTTTCTTTGTTTCTAAAATGCTCGTATCAAAGTGTGAAAACAGTGATTTGCCTGCAAATAACACCATCTTTTAACATCGTCTTTTCAGCCTTCTCAGTCTGGTGTTCTCTCACTGTGCCTTGCTCTCTTGTGCCTTGTGTCTCGGCACCTCTGAAAT